CGGGGAGGTTTCCTCGGAGCCTGAGGGGGAGACTTCACTGGGAGTGGGGCGCTGGGTGATGGCTCACACAGAGACTCCCGGCGGCTTCCCCTCACTCCACACTCATTCACACTCAAATGCCATCGTGCAATTTCAAAGGCCCAGGGAGGTGCCTCGGTGAACATGGGCTTCAGAGTGTGAAAAGCTGGCTTTGAATCCTAATCCCATCTCCCCCAACTTGGGTGAGTTTAGGGTTTCAACCCTCTTTCTGCAAAACCCAGATCACAACACCTGACCCAACACATGGCAAGTGTGCAGCTCAGTCCTGGGCCTCAGCGGGTGCCCGTCACGGGCCGGCCTTCTTACTGTAACTGCGGATGGCTTGCCCCACACCCCGAAGGCTGCCCAGGGCTAGCTGGGATTAGTCAGTGGGTGGTATGTAATGTCAAAACTCTGAGCCTTTCCAGAGCACCAGATAGAGACCTGATGTTGCCATTTATTTATTTTTTTTTTCCCATCCGAGCTGCCCTATTTTTAGAGTTCTAGTGACAGATACTTGGTTTTCTTCTTCCTTGGATTAGAAACATTTTCTCCATCTTTTCAACTGATGTGCTGTGCTGAGTACCATGAGCAGCTGTGTTTTCATGTGCATTTGCCAGTAAGAGAGCAGGGCGGGGAGTGGGACCAGCTCCAGACAGCCCATATCGATGGAACCACACTGTCCTTTAAGAAAGCATTGGATCTCTTTGCACAAGGACCTTTGTTAGTGAGCCTGACCCTTGGGTGGAATATTTCCCTCCGGAAACAGCTTTGCTGCTGATTTCCTGTGAAGGGCAGAGGAAAGGAAGCCGATCCTCCTGCAGGGGCTCCCCTTCTGTGGGGGCTCCCCTCCTTCCACCCCTTCCCTGCAGGAGAAGGTCTGATTATTCCAGCTCAGCCAAACCTATCTCCACCTCTCTCCCAAGCCACAAAATGGCACCTAAACGGTGCCCTCCCCTGTGCTGGGTCCGAAGGAGATACAGGAGACACACCAAGTGGCCTATGCCCTCCCCGAGCCTAGGGTGTCGCCGGAAGACTCAGTCAACCCAGAGGAACAAGAGTAAATCTGAACTCAGCCAGCAGAGATGTGCTGGGCCGTGCACCCAGAAGCTGATATGAGCGAGGGGTCAGGAGAGCCCCATGATGGTGGGATTTGAATTGGCTTTGTAGGATGTGTCAGGAGAGGTCAAGGAGGGTATTTTCAGTCAAGAGGGCCTCTGTGAACAAAGGGCATGGAGAAAAGGAGGAGCCAGATGCATTAGCAAGCGCCGGCGGGAGGCTGGTCTGACAAGAAGAAATGATGGAGAGAAGGAGGGCCCGAGAATAAATGAAGTACCTTAAACCCAAGACAGAGAGGAGCTAGAGAGAGCAGATAGAAAGGGCTCCTCTCTCCCTCCATCTTGCTACTGAGCGTCATTAGTGATGGAGGCAGCAGCGACAACTGCCTTCGAGCCAGCGTGGTGTCCTTTCCATTCAAATAGGCACACGCGATGTCCTAGAACCGAACCTGTGAGTGAGGACAAGGCCGGGCAGGTGTACAGAGGGGAACAGAAGGTCGCATGCTTGAGGCCAAGGGTCTGGGACACAGTAGCTGTCACAAAGGCTCTGAGGAGGAAGAGGTGGCTTTCCTGGGTGGACAGTTCCCCGACTCTCTCCAAACCTGTCCAACCAACTGCCAGTCATTTCCCAATGAGAGTTCTCAGGGTTCTTGCTGTGAGGCCAGCAAAAAAGGGAGGGGTCTCCCCAGGCGTGTCTGTCCCGTCTTCCTCGTGGTCGAATGGCCAGATCACCCCATGGCTCCAGGAGCGAGCGCAGCTGCTAGAACACGTGGACAGCTCCTGCAGGCATGGACTAGTTCGTGAGAAATTAGGAGTGTAACAAGTTAGGGCAAAAACCCCTGGGTAAGGAGCCAGGAAACCTGGATTCCAGTTCCAGCTGCACTTTTGATTGTTTCTTGAGGTGAGTCAGGTGGCCTTTCGGGGTTTCCATTTTCTGTTCTTGCCAAAGAGGTATAATGACCCTCAGCCCGCCTCTGAGGGCCCGGGGAAAATACAGCAGCCATTCACTCTTGGGTTCATCTTGTGTCCTCCCGGGGATCCGGGGAGGCCAGGAGCCTCTCTGCCTTCACCTCCTCGAGCTTCTGCTGTGTTAGGTTTAAATGTCTTGCCCGCATTCACAGATACACATAGCCCCAGCGAGGGCCACTGTCAGGTGTGGGGGCAGAGAGAGGTGAGCGGAATTGCCGTGACCACAGAGGCCCAGGTTTCATCTTCCTCTCCTCCACACGCCCCGGGACTCCGCCGTGGGGTGGCTGTGCGGAGCCACACCAGCATCGGCTCCACCCCTTCCCCCAGCAAGCCCCGGCACACGCGTGAGCTCCGAGGGCCCGTGCAGGGAGACTCCACACGCTCGCACGCAGGGGTGTGGGTGGCCCTGCTTCTGAAACACACCTGGAACCGCCCCAACGGAATGAGCCCCCCAGTCTGAAGCCGCGCTCCTGGCATCAAGCTGAGGAGGATTTTGTGATGGGGACGTAATTCATTCCCTACGCCCTTTCTGCCTTCTCTTCAATAATTTCCGATCGTTTTTATAGTTTTCGAGAGACTCACTTTTGGGGAATTCGATTCCCAGATCTTTCCAGCAATCACTGACCCCACTTTGTGTAAAGCCCTGTGCAAAGAACTAGAGACACGGGGCGGGGTGAGAACACTCCAGAATCGCTCCCAGTGGCGTGGGACGTCTCCTTGGACGGGGGTCTCAGGCTACCCCCCGTCCCTCCCCACACTCCAGGTACTTTCAGGCTGGCGGGGAAGCTCTGCAGAAGACGTATGAGCGTCTAAAGGGCTGGAAGGTGCAGCAAGAGCACAAAGGCCATCACCAGGCGCCCCGGAGTGTCCAGGCACTTGTGGGGTGGCAGGAGGAGACGCGAGTGAGGCACCGTTTGAGGAAGCACATCGTCCTCTGTCTTCTCTGAGGACAGAGGGTCAGCATGGGCATAAAGGGGATTAGTGGAAGCAGAATGGATGTAGGTGACTAATAAGGAGACATTTAGGAGGACAAGGCTCTTAATGGACATGGGCTTATTGGGAAAACCTATAAATTTTCCTTCTTCGAGGCCCTTGAAGAACAGGCTCTGCTCTATTCGTTCTAACAGAGTCATTAAGATGTGGTTCTCTCAAGGTTTCTTCCCAGACTCTATTCTTAATTAAATTATTGAAAGATTTGAAGAGAAGATAGTGAGTCAGATTCACGCCCTGGCCAGCAACTCAAGCCCACTAAACACTCCCTCTCGGAGCGGGGCCACACATTCTGGGTGGACCCTCCCGTTTCCAGGACTGTCCACCACGAGAATAAAACCGAAAGAAGCTGGAGGCCCCGTTCTTCCCGCGGCCCTTGAACTAAAGAGTTGCCACTCCTTTCCCGAAGGTTAATTACACCCTCTGAGCTGACTCTGTCCATTTGGGGAAAGATCGCCGAGAAGGGTGAAGTCCTTTTTCCTGCGTCTTGTTTAGTGGGCACAGATTCTGGGATAGAAAATTAACGAAGACTCTAAAATGCTCGCAGAGGACGGCAGAGCCTGTAGCGGGGCCAGCCAGGGTGCTCGCTCCATCCCGAAGCCTCCTGCCTCTGGTGTCTTGAAAGCAAAGTCCTTAGAAGGGAAGGTAGATGACGAAGGTGTCAGGGGAGCCTCGCACCTGTGGGCAGTGGGGCTGACAGCGGACGTGATGCTCTCCGATGGTAGAAGCCGGCGTGTGCCAAAGAAAACGTATGATCTCTCAAAGCCACTGCATTTTTCTTTGGGGTATTTACCTACGTATAACAATCAATTAAAAAGCACAAAAGGAACTTTTTAAAACCTCACTCCTGCATCAGGTTCTTCAGCTTCCTTCATTTTCCTCTCTCCCCTTCAGTGTTTTCATCGGAGCCTATCACCTGCTGGTTTCCCCTGCTGGTCCCCCACGTGCTTTCTGTCTGTGTTGTCAGACAGGCTGCAGGTTTCGTTTAAGTAGCTGCCTACTTCAGAGCCGATGCCGCCATCACTCACTCCTGAACCACTAGGCATTCTAGTTGTCTGAGAGTGGAGGGGCCGTGCTGCGTCCCATGTCACTGTTCCTCTGCGTCCCAGTTCAGGATGTCGGACTTGACCCAAGGCCCATAAGTTGCTTCACTCACGCTGTGTAAGCAGTTCTCAGGTGACAGAGGTTTTTATTCCCTGCTGGGCGTGCGTTTACACCCACAAACAGAAGAGGAGCCCTGGGGAGAAGGCACATGCTCCACACGAAGGCCGAGAGCCGTGTGTTTGCCCTTCGTCCCATCCCTGTTCTCCCCTTCTAGGGAGGTCGAATCGTGAGCTGGCCAACAGCTGGGCAGCAAGGAGTGGGGACAAGAGGAGAAGCTGATTAACTGGCCCTGGGATGATCAGAAAGCTGTGTGACCCACTGAGAGATATTTGGTTGGATCCAGGACACCAGTGTCCTAGTCCCAGTCCAACCTCTCTGGTGCGCAGTTTCTCCTTCTGTGACATCAGGAGGGGCTGGGCCGGGATTCAGTGAGTCCTTTTGTGCAGGGGGCTTCAGCTTGAACGTGAATCAGAATCTCCCTGAAAGCCTCATTAAGATGCACAGAGCTGGAACCTGCCCCAGAGTTTCTGACTCAGTAGGTCTGGGAAGGGGACTAGAAATGTGCCTTTCTAATGTGTTCCCAGGTGATGCTGCTGGTCCAGGGTCAAACTCTGAGAACTGTCGGACGAACCAGTCTTTCTCAGTGGTTCCTTGGAACACTGCCATCTGTGTTCAACTTTTCAGTTCTAAAGATCGCCTTCTTTTCTAGATGGAGCCAGCAGGACAGAAAGATGAGCCATTCGATGCGAAAGAGAGGAGGCCGGTGAAATGTCCCTCTCAGGTAGGCAAGGACTGAGGAGGAGAGGGAATCTGTCGCTGGATCGGGGAAAGAGATGGGATCACCAAGTGGGCTTTGCTGTGAAGTGGGATCTCTCCTGGCTGAGACATTAGCCCTTTTAGAGTCTTGGCTCTGTTCTTCTGGGCCAGGGCACAGATATGTATACTTGGCACACTTAAAGTTTGCGCTTTGGGGCCAGCAGAGCCGTTTTAGCAAAACTGAGGCCCCCCTCCACAGCTGGAGGGCATAAGGACAAAGCCACTTCTCACCTGGCCCCAAGTGCCCCAAATGTAAAGATGGGTTTCTTAAATATGTGCCTAATGTGTAGTAGACATCTAATTAATGTTGCCAAATAAATAGATGAGAAAATAACATGAACGAGTAGAATTCCTTTTATCATGTAATGCTAGTCGAAGTTTTGACTTTCTTGATGAGCTGGTAAGTCTTTCGTTACTAGGCTATAAGAACTACATAATTCACTCTATTTCTCTCTTTGCTTTGGCTGCCAGGAAGCTAACAATGAATTTCTCTTTTCTTGGAGATACATGTACTTTGCCTGGTAGCATGGACTTCCCGGGTAGAGAGCAAGAGATGCTGACTATTGCAAATGGAAAATTTCAAAGCATTAATGGGCTCCTTCGGGGAACTCATTGGCAGCACAGAGAACAAAAGTCAGAGAATGATTTTCATTTCAACAATGATATGAATGTTCCAAGCTGGCGAACAGCAATGCTGGATGATTAAGCCTGATGATTAAAGGGTCCGGATTTCTGGGTCACGGTTATAACACATTACTTTTCTCTGCAGGAGAACCCATATCTGTTCACCTACAGGAACAGCAACTACCTGCCCAGGGTGACAGAACTCCATGAGAAGCTTGAGGTATGGAGAGGTTTTCGGTGATTGATAAACATGCAAGTGAACCAAGGGCCATACCCCTTTGCAGAGTCTTTGGGACCTTTCATGTGGTTTTCTATGTCCTGGAACCCATGGGCAGGCTGGAAAGGGCGAAGGATCGGGTGTATGGCTGTCTCCTTTGTGCTAGAAGCCGGTCTGCCTCACGGCTCCGTCTTTAGTATGGCCTTGCAACCAGCATCCTACAGATTCATGGTTGTTGGGTGCTCAGCACCACCAACTCCTGTCTATTTTGATGTAAGGCATGATTTTTCAGGCCGTTTCCAAATATCTGACGAGTCCTTTTAAACCCATCTGAGGCCTCGATCAGAAGAGAAAGTTAAGAAAAGGCAGAGAAATGTGGTAAAATCTAAAATCTGACAGCATGGAAACCAAAAGGCCTCAGAAGTCAGCCTACACCTCAGGGGCCACCTCACACTTACTCATGTCTTGCTTACTGCTTATCTCATGACTCTTTCTGATACTTCCTGTCAAGATTAGATAGGGCACCCTGTACCCCTCCGAAGAACCGAGAAACACTCGCAGGTTGATGTCCCCATTCTCAGAAGACTGGGGACTGATATGGGTTGCGACAAAATTCGGTCCTAGCACCATCCCTAGAAAAGAGGGTGAGAGTTTCTCAAGGTGGTGGAGGCGAAGCTGATGGCCTGGGCCTCCCCCATAAAGCCTGAAAGATACAGTGTGAAAGAGTCGACTTATCAACGTGTCCCGCACTTTCCAACTACTATCACAGCAGGGAGGATACATCCGAAAGGCATCCGGGCACAGCGAGGTGAGAGGACCGGCTCTGGTTCAGATCCAGGCCCTTCTGCCTGCCGGCTCCGTGTCAGCGAACAAGACACTTAACTCTCTCTCCGCCTCGTCTTTTTCATTTATTTATTTGTTTTTAACCTGGGGAGTGGTGATAGCTCATGGAGTCGTTATCAAATTATAATAAATAATGAGTATAAAGCATGTATGATAGTATCTGCCATGCCATGAGTTCTACACAAGTGTTGGCTATTATCATCTATCTGATCATAGGAACCATACATTCCTTCAGGATACAGTTATTGATTACCAGCTGGGTACCATTAGGGTACATCGTCAGTGAGGGCAGGGACGCAGAGCAGGCACCTGATCATTATTAGTTGAATGACTAAATGGGCGGGTGGGTGGAAGGAGGTATACCAGGCATAGGAGACAAAAACATCAATCGAATACTTGCTTATTCGAAGGAACTCGGTCTAGTGGAGTCAACCAGCAATGATGGCACAATGGCGTACGTGCCCTAATTAAAGTTTCCACGCAGTCTTCTGAGAACACAGAGTCCAAGTGTTTAACTCGGACAGGAGAGAGTGGAAGAAGGCTTCCCAAAGAGCACCCATGACCTTGGCCTTGTGGGATGACTAAGGTCGAGCCAGGTGAATGGCAGAGTGGGGAAATGAAGGGAGAGGAAAAGGGAGAGCAAAAGACGTGCTTGGGCAAAGACGTGGGAGCACGGAGCGTGCTGAGAGCGGGGTCAGCTCTGAAGGTTTAGAATCTGGGAGCCTCTTAGGCCATGTTAAGAAGGATGGATTTTATGCTACTGTGAATAAAGAGCAGAAATGTATTTTCTATTCAACCAGCAAATATTTATTGAGCATCTACAGTGAGTGCAGTGTTCTAGGCTCTGGAGATACAACAATACCCCAAACAGACAAAATCCCTGCTTTCGCCGAGGATTTGGGCACGGGAGTGCCATAGTTACGTTATGTTGAGAGAGAGACCCCTCTGAATGGATTCAGGGGACGAAGCCCATGGGACCGAAGGCGGTGATGCTGGGAATACTGCGATATTCCAGTGAAGAAGTGGAATATCCAGTGTCTGCCTCCTAAGACAGAGGCCTGGACTTAGGCTGAGGTAGAGGGACTAGAGAAGAGGAGACAGGTCTGGGAGCATTTGGAAAGGATATTGTGGACACCTGGATATGAGTGTTGAAGGAAAGGGAGAAATCTTAAAAGGCACTTAGTTTTCTATGTTAAGTGATATTTTCCAAAGTAGAGACCCCTCTTCTTACCCAATTTCCCATGTTCCATTTCTCATTTCTCATTTCAGGCGAGAGATGGAACAGAAATCGGGTGCCCCGACAAGGATCCCTCCGACACAATTCCCACCTCAGGTACGTGGCTCGAGTCAAGTGATTTATTAACCTACCTGAGGCCTGAAATCATCAAAGTGGGAGCAACCTTAGAGTGACGAGGGCTTTCCGCACAATCTGAGACACACGTGAGGTTTTCCAAGGACGGTAGAAATAGCTCTGTATGTACAGGCACACATTTTATTGTACTTCACAGATATTGCATTGTTTACAAATTGAAGGCGAGACCGTCCACCAGCACAAAGATTTTGATGCGCTTTCTTGTGATTCTCGCTTTATTGTGGTGATTTGGAATTAATCTCGCAATATCTCTGAGGTATGCCTGTATATTTGTAAGTTCGTGCCTGTGTTTGATTATTCTTTAACTAAAATATGATATGTGATAACATTATCAGAAAGCACTTATTAAGCATTAACTGCGTGTCAGGCCAAGTTTAGCAAAGAGCCCGGTGTTAGTCAAGTGAGCTGATGTCACTGTCCCTGCCTTTACCCCTTGATGAGGTGAATTTGTTCTCTAAAAGCAAAACTACCTGGAAGCAGGAAGCAAAAATAACTAGTCCACACTCACCGTCAGAGTCACATGTAGGATTTCCTCAAACACCACACAGAACAGGAAGGCGCGCTGTCTTATAAAGGTGCCTTTGCCACCGCTACGCAGTATTTTCAAAATAAGTGTTTTGGGGCCATGAAAATGAGAGTCATGGAATGTTCTAGGCAGAGACGTTTCCCAGAGAGGAGCTGCCTAAGGGCTGAGCCTTTTCCTCAAGGCCAGTCAGTGTGGGAGTGATGGCTGTGTGCATGTGACCAGGGGGACCCACATGACTCAAAACATCAGCCCAGGAGCATTTCTGCAGCAGTGAGACAAGGTCCTGGCAGGTGACTCCTTTGTTCATCGATTTGTTCATTTGTTCATTTATTTATCACATGCTTGTCGAGTGCCTCCTAAGTGCCTTGCAGGATAGAAAATTAAGTTTGGCGATGTCGCAGTAACTAGCAGGAATCATTCAGGGATGCAAATCTTTGTAGTTAGGTTGCCCCCTTTTGCTGAGTGTTAGTAGAACAACACTAACACGAGCCTGCCCCTCACGGGTCTTGGCTCTACACACTCAAATTAAGCCAAAGGACTGGCAAGTAAGTCAAAAATCTTCTCACCAAAACTTTGGTGTATAACTGGTTCTTGTTCTATGTTACGGAGTAAAGGAATAGGTGATCAAGATTACAAACACACACACGCGCTCTCTCTCAGTCTTTGGACTTTTTCCACCACAGTTGGTGACAACTCACTCCTCTTGGTTAGGTTACTAGCAGAATTTTAGCAGCAGAAACAAATTATTAGCTTCACATGTAGGACTTCCTGTGGCAAAACTCAAAGACGTATGTATATATGTACTTATGTATGTATGTATGTATAGAGAGAAAGGGAAAGGGAGAATTCAAATGTTTTAATAGCCGTATTCTTTACAGTGAAATAATATCCATCCCCTTTTTTTATCTTATCATTCTGAAAGGATGATCTATAAAGCATTTCACAATCTGTCTGGATTATGTTCCTGACATGACACAGTGACAACCAACCAATCCATGAGAGCGTATCTCAACATCTAAAAGCCTAATAAAATGTGAAACTCTTCTTTATTTCCTGACCCTGAAGATTATTGTTTATTGGCACTTGAAGATGTAAGTGCAAGAAATCTCGAGACCTTGAGATCTGAGATACTCTGGTGATAGAAGCTGTTTGAATAAGCAGATGGATAGATTTAGGTCTGCTTTATCTAACCAAGCAGGCATGGGACCAAAACATTCTCTCTCCATCTGGGTAGCAGCACTTAGAGTCAATGCTAGGCTGCACTTCTGAGTCCTGCCTGAAAAGAGTCACTTAAGACAAATGGCCTCCGCTAACTGGACAATAATGAGAAACACATTTCATTACTGTGCATAATCTACAATTGGACATTTTAGCCATATTCGTGACTGCTGGAGTAGGCAGCAGAACTTGACACAGGGCCACATTATTATTTTCCCTTGAAAATTGTCATGTTTCTGATGAGTTCATTCACTCTTCTGGAGATACGTTTGCAATTTCTAATCAAGACGAAGCCATCTGATACAGACTCGTAAAAGCAAGTTTTCTTATCTTTATATCCCCAATGACTCAGCACCTGGTAGGAGCCCATCAATGTTGGTTGAACTAATCTGAATTATCTACTTATGTCTAATTTAGCCAATCAACAATTCTCAGGGTTGAGAAAGATCTTAAAAACCAACTAGACCTAAACCAAAAGTGATGTTTCAAAGTAAGAAACTGCCTGAGCCACAGGCCTCAGCCCCTGGCAGCCAGGGTGCCTCCCCATCATTCCATCAGAGCCCGCAGGTGACAGACCTCTTCCATTGATCTAAGGGGCTTTGTATGAGATACATAGAGGTGGCATAAGTAATTTTTTATAACCAGTCGGCATTTGGTAGCCAATGAATGCAAGCTTCTAATTTTTTCCTTCTGGTCAGTTCGCATGTGCAGTTTGCTGGGCGCTATTTCCTCCCGGCCTAATAATTTCATAAACAGTTGTGTTATTTTAGATGACTCCATGGCCCTGTCCCTAATATAGATAAGATAACATAAAAAAGTATGTAGGGCCTGGTAGCTGACTTAAAGTTTTCCCAGTGAGAGAAGGAGCAGCATTTTGCAAACAAAAGAATGGTAGAGGTAAGGGGTCATGGCCTCTTGGCTATCCCCTGAAACTGGCTGTCTTGAAATCAAGCTGCTAATTCCATGCAGAGGGGAAAATTCACAGTATTTTGAAAAATAGGCATCCACAAAGCTAATTACATGCCACTGTCACCATCAGTATGAATCAGAACAGTTCATTCATTTAAACCATTGATTCCTTTCTATGTCCTTGATGTCATTTATTTTTACCTATTTGGCCATAAAGAGCTATTCAAAGGCTGATATGAAAAACGTCCCAGGTTACAGCACTGGGTGGTCACCAGGGGTTTCACGTCGCTGTGAACCAGCAGTGTAATGTCCAGTGTAGACCCTAAAGCTCTTTCTGTAGTCAAACTCTGCTCATGGGTCTTGTGACTTAACCTAGCCTGTGACTAGGAAGTAATGATTCCCCACATGGGATAACAGCCTGTTTATCCGTGGGTGGGACCAACCTACTAAACAAGTTCAAAGTCACCCCAAGATGTTTGGATGAATTAGTGTTTCCCTTCCCCGTAGTTTCTATCATTTAAAGCTTTGACAGCTGTCAAGTCCCTGACACAGAGCCCTTTCCTTAGCCTTTCATTTAACTTACTTCTTGAGCTCCTACTATGTACGGTGCACATATTCCTTCATATGCTGAGCAGCCTCGCTGATAATTGAGAGAAAGTTGGTTTCTCAGATTATGGCCCCAGGTGATTTAAGCTGCTGGGTTACACAAGACAAAATTCCAAAATGCTAAGTCTTTCTCATGGGTGTCACTCTTCATGTATCGAGGGCAGTTTTCCCAATTCTATACTCTAGCCTACCATTTCCTTGCTGTTCATGATAGTTCATCATCATTTGGATGGCCTTGTGTTAAGAGGTCCCCTCTGTAGAAATCTTGATGAGGCAATAATGTGTTTATCAATCTCTTTCAAGGTGATGGACAGTTTGTACCAGATAATATTTAGCTAATCAGTGCACACAATTTTAATCTTATCTCTGAGTAGTTCTTTCCCCAAGGAGAGCAACTGCTAAAGTGCTTTGCTGTGTTTCCAGACTTTGTCTTGTCATACATGATGATATTAACGAAGCTCAAATCAAGGTCTACAGATATTAAACCAATGATATGTGTTGGGCTCTATCTCAATAAAATCCCAGAGAAGTCAAACTCCTCCCATCTAGGCTTGGCTCATTTCATTTATTATCTCTTGCAGGAAATCCTTTAAAATGACCAACACCCCACACACACATATGAATCAATCTGTCTGTTTACACACATATATATGCACATAGATGTAGACATGCATGTGTGTATGTTCTGTCTGCTACAAATGTCGGAGATAGGAATGGCCAGTTTCAGCTGCTGCTTTAACAGATGGTAATGTGCTTTTGATACAAATCTATCCATCTCTTCCACATTTTGCCAGGCCCATAGATTTCCCCTAACTTTTACACACTAGCTAGTATTCACAGAATTCACTATACTACACATTATGGCAACAAGAATATGGTGATTGACTGTCATCACCAGAAGCTAAAATAAACCTTCTAGAATTGAGGAAAGGAGGTGTTATTTTCTGTTTCGTCTTTTTTTTTTTAATCCACAGCCTGATTTCTTTGAGAGAAGGTCATTTTAAAGTTCTCAGGCTCAGCCCCATGGATGTGTGCTAATGTGTGCAGCTGGGTTTGTGATTTGATATTGTTCTTCTAACCACATATCCTTGGGCCCACCGCAGACCTACTAAATCAGAAACTCTGAGGGTGGGGACCAACCATCTGTATTTTAATAAGATCTCTAAATGATTCTGATGCGTGCTCAAATTTGAGGAACATGAATCTATATATTTTGCATACACACATTCACGATCACGTACGTGTTAGTTTGCATGCTGTCATAGGAAGAGGCAGGGACTCTTACTTTTCCAATGAGAGCAAATCCTTGGTGGGAGTGGCAGTTCCCCATCTGTAGACAGCATGGAAGTCAGGTAGACGAGATGTCTCTGTGGAAAGAGACACCTGGATCTCCAGGTCTCTTTGAGCACTGTTTCTGCTGAGTGTTAATACAGCTTCCTCTGCAGAAATAATTATACAACCATAATTTGGATGTTGATAAATGAAGGGGGCTATATAGAGTCCAGTTGTGTTAAAAGCATCTTGTTCTCTGTTTCACTGCACGTTTATAGAGTGACTTGGCAAAAAAGCACTGTCAAAGCCTCCTTGCACACAAGTTTCAGTTTATCCACCTTAAGCAGTGGCTGAAAAGATGGGCTTTTTCCCCCTGGGAGTGGGACACTTCCTGATACTAACGATATATTAAACTTCTCCCAAGGTGTGAAAGTTATTTGACAATTTAGTTCAGTATCGCACCGCTAGAGACCATGGAAGACACATCTAAGAGAAAAGATGGAGCCATGGCAAAGTCAGGGTGATTACGGGAGTAAGATAATCTAGAGAGGGGGAGATATTGGGGAAAGTGGGAGGTGAGCTCGTGACAAAGCAACATATGGCATAAGGAATCTTAGGTGTTGTTCCTAAAATGCACTTGGACTTACGTTCTTATGTGTATAAAGTAAAGGGATAGATAGATATAGTGCAAGTGTATGTATGCAAGTTATTTTATACGTGTAGCACTATTCATGTTGACCAGGCATAAAATGCCTGTGGCTCTAACCTACCCTTAAATGCTGTTTTTTGTTAGTCTCCTGCTACACTCATCATTTGAGCCAAACTATATGTCTCTCTGTTCTTTATAGACATCGCGTGCTTTACTGTGCCACATCCATCCTTTACGCTGTCCTCTCCCTCATCCTAATTTCATAACATCCTGAGGCTTAGTTCAAACACCGCCTTCTCCACGAAGCCTGCTCTGAACCACCCCTGTCACAACCCAGCTCCATGACTTCATTTCACTTTATACCTCTGAGTGTTTATTGGCCTATACATTATTATAACTATGGATTCTTCTTTAGCCTGTGAACTTCTTGAGGGCATCCAACATTTCTAATTACGTGTGCATTCCTCGGTGTACTCTGCCACTGCTCGGTGTTGAACATGCTTGTCATATGAGTAAATAGCTACTTGGTGACATTACAGTATATGCTTAAACTCAAGAGATTAAAAAAAAAGAGTCAGGCTATGGAAAATAGTTTGGTTCTTCCTCAAGAAGCTAAACATGGGATTATCATTTGACTCACCAATCTCTCTCCTCCGTGTCTACCCAAAATAATGGAAAACAGGCATTCAGATAAGAACTTGTACACGAATGTTCAAAGTAGTATTATTCACAATAGCCGAAAGGTGGCAGCAACCCAAATGTTCATTATGTGATAAGTGGAAAAACAAAATGTGGGCTATCCATACAACTGAATATTATTCAGCCATGAAAATGCCGGAAGTGCTGGCACATGCTACAACATGGGCGAACCTTGAAAACATTAGGCAGCGTGGAAGAAGCCAGACACAAAAGGCCACATATTGTAAGATTCCGTTTCTATGAAATATCCAGAATAGGTAACTCCACAGACAGAAAAGGGTTGCTGGGGGTTGTAGGGCGGGGGGGAGAGGGGGAGGAGACAGAGGGAAGTGGGGAGTGGCTGCTAAGTGGGTACAGGGTCTCCTCCGAGGGTGATGAAAATGTTTGGAACTGGACAGAGGTGGTGATTTTGCAGCACTGTGAACACAGCACTAAATGCCACTGAATTACTGACTTTGAAATGGTTGATTTCACCTTAAATTTAAAAATGGTGGTTTGAAAGCGTTTCTCTTTTCGTGTTAGAGAAACTGAGCTGATTTTTTTCTTTTTAGTAGGATGATATGATATTTTATCCCAAACATGACCAGATCCTAGAATAGATTAAGTATTGGTTGTGTGCCCACCACAATTCCTTCCTTACTCCCAAATTATGTCGCCCAGGGCTATTTCATGCCCTGAGGGTGACTGCCCTCCTCATGGCATCAGGTTTCACTAAAAGCCAGTGAACTCCCCTCTAGAAGCTGGTCCACCTTCCAGCCCCCGAACCCTGCACCCAGGGGCCTGAGGGGGACGGCAGTCAGGCTCCAAGGCCACTATGGCTGAGCCTTTGGACAAAGACAAGCTCTTAATACTTTGTCCGAGGTGAATCACTATGAAAAACGAACTTTCTCATAGTTTTCCTGGAAGATCTTCATGTGCTTTCAGAGGAGATAGGAACCCCAATCTTCCACTCACTCCCACTTGATTCTCAGTTCACAGGCTGAAGCTGGCAGACATCAAGGTGATCGCGGCCCTGGGCGACTCGCTCACGGTGAGTTACCCTGGGCGTACAAGGGAGGGACAGGAGAGGAGCCATCTTGGTTCACTTGAGAACGAGAGGGAGAAAACCTCACTCTTGGCTCTTAAGCGTTGCCATCTAGCACCCTGTTCTCCAGCCCCTCTCCACCCTCCCTCACCGCCCCCCCCCACCTGGAAGCCGGCATTCCCTGCCCATCTCAATTTTCCACCTCCACTCTAACCATATCATTCCTCTCCCAACGCTGGAATGAAGGAGAGAGCAGGAAGTGGGGGGTCCCCAGAGGGAGCATCTATGATGAAAGTCACCCAGGCCAGATCACACAGCCTGGCAGTGGAGGGGTGGAAATGGACGAGGTCTCCCACCCACAGTGTATCATTCCTTCTAAGACCTGGAGCCACGTAGAAAAAGTTGAAGGCAGGGCGGAGAGAGGATGAGGCGGGAACAGGTGCCAATGGGGGTGATATGTGAGAAAAAAGGACAGTGGAAGAGACAGAGCTACTGAAAGTGATGTGATCCTAGCCTGGCTCTGCAGCTTCTCCATGGCGATGCCCCATGCCCTGCAAAGAGCTACCCAGGAAAAGCCCAATCAGGTCGTTAGAGAGCCTGGGTGGGTGTCCCGGAGGTTCCCAAACAGAAGCTTCCATTCAGTAGCCGCTCTTTACAGCTACGTCCAGCTGCTGCCCTCTGGGTCAGCAGAATTCAGGCCCTCCAGCCGAATCTTCCCCGAAGACCAGCTGGCCCCTTTCATGTCCATGTCCTATTCACATTGATATTATCGCACTCAATACCCTCAACAAAATCTGGGAAGTGTGACTCTCTTTAAACTTGATCAATGAAGACGGTGAAGCTACATAAGGCAGAGTCAGTGCCCACGGCCACACGGCTTGTAAGTGTTGGACCAGGACTTAGGTAAGTCCTGAGCCTAAGTCCAGAATTCTGTGCCTGCACTGTCACCGTCTCCTCCATGACCACTCAGGGACTCTTCACCCGCAAGGCCCTACTTCTCATACTCTTCTGGGAAGAACAAGCATACTGGTTCTTAGCAGTGCCCATCCCAGCCACTGTCTGCTGATGTGGCCCATATCTCCTCCGCCCACACTCCCCCGCCCCCCACTTGGCTCCTTGAAGATGCTCTGGGAATAAGGAGCCATCAAGAATTAGCACAGCTGTTAGGGGCTTCCTGGGGCCACAGCACTTTGAGTATGACATACCTGGCAGGTTTCAGAGGAATTAGCCCCAGAGAAGAGATCACGCAAAGGGGCGGGCCTCTCATGGAGGTGAGCCCTCCTCCCCAGGCGCCCTTTGCAATGGCCCTGCTCAGAAATAACATGCTTTAGGCAAGGGACGTGCATCTGTAGAGTGGGCCCAGATTGTGGTTTTAAAAGACCCTGCTCTTTCTTCAGCTGAGGGGTGGGTACATGGCACTTTCATTTGATTAATTCTTTAAAATGTACATGTGAGATATATTGATATAAAAGGATTATGATATGCTTCCTTTGATGACAGATTTCACAACTGTTTTGAAGAAAATGAAGAAAACAGACTCTGAAATATGTCCTTTTGGAAAATGGACACTATAGTCTTGTTTTCAGATCGCTTTTGCCAGCCTAGTGTCCCCTGGCAGGGTCTCTCAGGGTGGGGTCCAGCTGTGGACAGGCCAGGATTCCCCGGGAGGTGTCACTCATCTCAGGCTACACACATCCAAACGGGGCAATATGTGGACTCTGGGTTCTCAGAGTGCCCAGGCGTTCCTGGCCCGGACACGACACGTGCCTCCTGTAGGGCAGACAGAGAAACTGTCCCCCTTGTTGTTACCTCTCAGGCAGGTAATGGGGCCGGGTCCAAGCCTGGGGACATCGCGGACGTCTTGACTCAGTATCGAGGACTGTCCTGGAGGTGAGTGAGGGAGTGGCAAGGTTCTAAAGACCCCTCATGGTAGGGCAGGGAAGACCGCTGGGCATCATAGAAAACCATCCCTCGAGCAGAGGGTTGAGCTACCTAGTGCTTTTCAGGAGAAACGTCTAGGTTTAATTCAAGGAAGGTATTTATCAGCCTCCTCAAACCACTACATTTCCCCAAACAGGAGCTGGGACGTGAGAAGGAGGAGTTTGAGGGAGAAACTGCAAAAACATTTGGTTTGGAAAAGTTTCTCTAGTTTCCATTTCTACCTCTGAGGAATAATCTCAAAAGGCGGCAGTGGCCTTTGGAACCAGAATTGAGTCTGAACCTTGGCTGTCCAGCTCTGTGCAACCTTGGGCAAGTTACTTAACCTCACTGAGCTTGTCTCCTCATCTTTGATGCAAAGATAGTTTTGTCTGAGCACTGTCATGAGGATTAGAGAGAATTTAAGCACCCGGCACAGTGCCTGACACAAAGTAAGTAGAAATGGTAACTGGCATCATTATTAAAGGACCTTCATTTTATATACAGATGAGGAAGTAAGCTCAGAGAGGATAAGTAACCTGTCCAAGGTCACACAGCCAGGTGGTAAAAGAGCAAGAAGTAGAGTAGGTGGTTCCTGATGCCTAATCTGGTGTGTTCCCCCACGGTGTATTGCTTCCTGCAGGCTTGTTCCTACCCTGGCTGTAATCCAGGCTGCCATAAGCTGCAGTGAGCAGGACTTGACCTCCATGCTTTGAAAGACTGGCTTGTGCCAAACACGAGAGGGCAGGTTTGCTGTTTCCTCAGCCTGGAATCTGGCTTCTCTAGCATCGACTTACACCTGAGTGTGGAATCCTCGGCATCTGCTGAGCAGAATTAAACCCCAAACGCTTTGAGAACCTTTTAAACGTTCCCAGACATACTTGGCAAAGAAGAAGGAAATATGGAAAAGCAAGGAGTCCAATAAACTATGGAATGCTGCGTGTTTGCATGCCTAGAAACCCATCCAACTTTGATTTCCTTGGAATTTTAGAAGCGGCTTGGAACATGGTTGCTCTCCCTCTCTCGAAGACACCCTTTAAAACGGGTTTTCCCAAAGCCAAACCAGAAGAGAACAATGAGGACAAACCTTTTTACCGTTTCCAGTAATAATAGCAAGGCGCAGTTTCAGTGGCTAGCGGGGCGAGGCTGGGCTCCGCATGCAAGGAGGGGTCACTTTCCCTTTGGGAGATGAGTGTCAGCGCTCTAAGTGAAAAACCAACAAAGTCAAAATCAAAGTTAAAAACCACGACCGTTTAAATCAATTCCTTGTTCGGATGGTCCAGTCTGTGGGGGGAGAGGAGTTGCTGTATTCTGGTTTGTTTTTCAGGGGGAGTTTTTTCCCCCTCGCTTTTTTTTTTTTTTTTTTACTGAAACAGGGCAGGCTCCAAGCCCTCAGGGTTTTTCTCAGAAGGAGAAAGGTTTGTTTTGCTATTGCGAGGTGTTTCGGTGTCGCTGGCATTTTCAGTCTTCATTTTCTTTTTTCTTCCCACAACACAGCGGTGGCGGAGATCACAACCTCAGCAGCGTCATCACCCTGGCCAGTGAGTACGCGGTCCCTCCGGGGTTTGTGGTGGGCTGGGGGCCACCTTGCGTGTTTCTGCAGCTCCCTCTGGCGGCGGCCGCGGGCTTAGCAGGGAACCGGGCGGCAGGAGACAGCTGCGTTCTGTAGGGGGCACTGCTTCCCCAAGGTGGTGATCTACCTGCTCTGCTCCTTGAGTGACTGCGGCCTGAGAGGTTTTTCGTTTTTTGTTTTAAGAAATTGTATTTGTCCAAGGAAGGAAGAGAGTAAGAGAGGAAAAGAGATCTCAGGCCAGATCTTAGTTCAAGTCATTAGTAAGAAATGATTCAAGAAAGAAGGAAAGGAAACCCATCTCTGCTTTACCTGTCATTCTGAGCAGAGAGCACCTTTCTGGGAGTCACTGATCTCAGCTTGGGCTGCCTTAGACGCAGCTGCGTGCAAAGACGTTGAACTCCTGTGTATCACTTTAGGAAATGCTGTTATTGGAGCAGTAAGAGATGAAGTTACTTCGTTCGGGCTGTGCAAACACAGCCATATTTGGGGACCGAAGTTTTTAAAAAATTATTTCACCAACAATCTGCTTGGAATGATCTTTCAAAGAATGACTACATTCATCTTTTTTTCTCCTTAGCATATACACATCACAGTGCTTGCTCTTAAAGTATACATGTAATAAATTGAATTCTTTTTCCTTAAAATCTTCCAGCAAATAATTTTGCCTAGGAGGAATTTCGTTGGTCCCATTCTCATTTACTTTTCTTGTAATAATTCCTTTGTAACATATCTTTAGAAGCTAAGGAATTACTGGAGCTTTGAATCACTAAGACTTTGATGATAGGGATGGCTTAATCTCCACAGAGGCAGAGCTAATTGGCTTTTACATTTATCATCTGGTTTTGTTATTCGCAAATCCTGTTGAATTTAAGTAGGTACAGTTCTGGGACACAAGTACTCCCTGTCTTCTTTATTTCTAGGTCTACACACAAGAGCTGTAAATAAGCTTCCTATTGCTAGGAGATGGTTTGAGTTGTTTTTGTGAATGTGACTGGCTGGCTGTGAGCTGGCCCGGCATTTGGAGCAGCCTGTTGAGCTCTCTGATTCCCATGCTATTATCCTAGATAACATAATCGGAAATCAACAGGCTCAAGATAGTTCACTAAATTGGTTTACAAAGGATTGAGACAGTGTCACCCTTCAGGTGGACTCTCCTGACACACTTAGCCTGCGCGAAGACCATTCAATGGTGAAGGAATAGTCTTTTCAATATGCGGTCCTGGCACAACTGGATAGTTACCTGCAAAAAGTGAAGTTGGACCCCGTGCTGCATACCAGACACAAAAATTAACTCAAAATGGAACATAGACCTAGATTTAAGAGCTAGAACTAACTCTTAGAAGAAAGTGGAGGAGGAAATCTTCATGACCCTGGGTTAAACAAAGCCTTTTAGATATGACACCAAAAGCACAATTGACAAAATTAAACACTTTTGTGCTTTAAAGTAAAAAGACAACCCAAAGAAAGTAAAAAGACAACCCAATGAATAGGAGGAAATGTTTGCAAATTATGCATGTAATAAGCAACTCGTATCTAGAAAATATAAGAACTCATAACTTGACGATAAAAAGACAACCCAATTAAAAATGGGCAAATGCAACTTTATAAATGTATTTAATACCAATGAACTGTACAATTAAAAATGGCTAAGATGGTAAATTTTGTTATTTGTATTTTACCACAATAAAAAAATAATGGGCAAAGGATTTGAATTGACATTTCTGCAAAGAAGATATACAAAGGGCCAATAAGCACATGAAAAGATACTCAGAATCAATAACTGTGGATGCAAATCAAACCACAATGAGATGCCATTTTACATCCGCTGGAATGGATATGATAAAAAGATGACAGATAATAAGTAGTGGGGAAGATGTGCAGAAATTGAAACCTTCATACGCTATTGATGGAAACATAAAATGGTACAGCCGCTTTGGAAAAAAAGTTTATAGGTTCCTCACAGGTTAAACAAATGATCCAGCAATTCTACTCCTAGGAATATATCCAAGGAAAATCACACAAAACTTGTACATAAATGTTCATAGCTGCATTATTCATAATAGCCAAAAATGTGGGAATAATCCAGGTGTCCTTCAACTGATGAACGGGTAAATAAAATGGGACCTTATTTGGCAATAAAAAGGAACGAAGCACTGATACATGCTATAGCATGGGTGAATGTTGAAAACATAATGTTACGTGAAAGAAGCCAGCCACAAAAAACATATTACATTGTATGATTCCACTTAAATGTCCAGAATAAGTAAATTTATGTAGAGGAAAAATAGATTAATGGGGTTGAGGGAATGAGAAGTGACTGATTCAGGGTTTCTTTTTGGGGCGATAAAAACATCCTAAGGTTAGTAGTAGTGATAGATGCACAACTGAATGAATATACTAAAACTATTGAACAGTATACTTCAAATTGGTGAATTTTATGGTCTGTGAATTATCTCAGTAAGCTATTATATATTTAGAAAAAGAAAATGCATGAGAGAAGCACCTACCCAAGCTCACATTTATTCCACAATAATTCATTAAGAACCCGGACAGGCCTCCCAGGTGGTTAGACCTCTGCCTGCTGGACATTTTCTTTCCATGCTGAGTGAATAATAAGGGGAAAGGCTGTGGGCAGGGGCTTTGCTTGGTCCTGAACACTTACTGGTGCTTATTAAAGGAATTCGAAGATTGCTCTGGGGTAGTTACTAAGCACATCTCTTCTGTGTGTTTCCAGACATCCTCCGGGAATTCAACCCTTCCCTAAGGGGCTACGCTGTCGGCACTGGGACAGAAGATAGTCCCGGAGCCTTCCTAAACCAGGCCGTGTCGGGAGCCCAAGCTGCGTGAGCAGGGGAGCTTTGGGAATGAACAGCATAGGTCCTCGGGGGACCTGCTTGGGGGTGTGGCCTAGCCTGGGACATATGGCTGAAGGCTGGGGGGCTTGGTCTAGGGGAGGGATCTGAGGGTCAAAGATTAGACCAGGTGGCTCTCTTGGGGGTGTCCATTGCTGTAGAACACACAAAGCTGCTTGCTCACCCCCAACTCTACCCCAAGAACTAGTAACAGTTGACTCTGATGCTTTGAGCAAATTCCTTTTTCTGGTCTATAAATCTGATGTCCACGTACGACGGTGGCCATGAGAGGGCTTACTCTGAGTCTCAGCTTGTGGTGCTCTGTTCAGCTCTATCTTTCCTGTCCTCCTCTCCCTCCTTTCCTCAGACATGCTTTTCGGAAGTTTTTTCAGGCTCTACACTTTGTGTCCTTCCTGGGTCATCGGTCCCCTAGTCTGAGCCCTGGCCTCCCTAAGCCTTAGCCTCTAAGAGATGGGCTGGCTGTGAACCCTCCCAGGGGCAGTTGTGAGGCTCAATGCCATGGTGAATGCAGAAGTTCTGGTGAGCTACAAATAGCACACAAATTTTGGTCAGAATGGTGGTCCCAGCAGCAATGCAGCAGAGCCCACCAGGGAAACCAGTTAATGAACAAAGGAACCACTACGTCATGGTCCACGGGCACCAAATGCAGGTTCCTGAGAGCAGGTCGGCTTTCCTGGGTCCCACAGCTCTGTTTCTCTCTTAGGTCCCAGAGCCTTGAGTGCCTTTTGAGTTTGCTGCTCGGTCAGAGAATAAGTGAACACTATCCCAATTTAGGAAAAATAAATCCTATCTGGTTCTTAATCTTGTTTTTCCGGAATTATCACAAACCTTATTTTACCTTGGGATTCTGGGTTTTGGCTCCTAGATTCCTGACATCATTCTCCCGTTTCTCAACACCATCCTGAATTTATGAGCTGCCCTAGTAACTTTCATGCATTTCTGACAGGAAAGGTGACAAGTTTTCCAAAGCAGAGATCACATAAAACCTAATAGGTTTTAGAGTGAATTCTGTGGCTTTATTTTCCTTTTGGTAGGGGCAGGGATGAAAGGCTATCGTTTTACCACTTAAATTTTGAGCTTACTTTAAGATTACCATAATTTTGCTTTTTTCCGAGCGTATGTCAGCTGGGGGTATAAGAGGAGAGCTGGTTCTAAGCATGACTAGATCAGAAAGCCATCAAAGAATGAAACCTTAGTCAAGAAGGTAAAAGTAACCAAAACAGAATGTGATTCATATAGCCCTGGATTTCTTCCCGGCTTTCCCCCAAGGCCTTGGGACTCTTTTGTGCAAGGCATCCATTTGTCCAAGCACATCCTGAGTTGTAAGGAAGCTTTAGAATTATTATTCCCATGTCACCGATGGAGAAACTGTAGCAAAAAGAGGCAAAGCGGCCTGAACAGATGCATCAATCTGACCACATGTGCCCTGCAGGCCTTATCCCAGGTCTGATGATAAACCCTCAAGCATAAACGGCAGTGTACAAGTAACAAAGCACTTTCATGTCTGTTATTCCTTGCGATGGACACAACAGGAGGTCACATACCTATGCTTTCTTAAGGATGATACTGAGGCTCAGGTCAAGTAATCATCCTAAAACTCTGGTCCATAGAAAGAGCAGCTGCCCTGGTAGCTTTAGATTTACAGATGAGGAATCCGAGGCACACACAGGTTACATGGTTTACCCAGAACGTCCACCCAGGTTAACTGATACGTAGAATACTGTGACCAAGAACAGGCCGGTTGGGCTAATAGTTATGAGAGGAAAAGGATGATGACAGCTCATGTTTCCTGCTAGGCACTGTGCCCGGGGTTTAATTGATGATGACAATGATGGTGATTGTGATGATAGCAGAAATAATTTGATGGGTTATTTATAATATGGATGCCTACAGTGTGCAATTCTAAGTTCTTTATGGACACCTTATTTAATCTACCCAACAGCTCTATGAAGAAGATACGCTTACCATCCTCATGTTACAGAGGGAAAAATCTGAGGTTTTGCAAGGTCAAGCACTTTGCCAAGGTCTCTGAGCTGGTCATTGATGGCATCGGGATTCACACCCATGCTGTCTGGCTCTTATTCCTTAGGGCTGCTTTGCCCATGTCATTTACTGCTCCCGATGACTCTCTGAGACGGAGGGTTTATCTCCATGTTTGCAGTCTTTTTGGACTGGAAACTTAAGTTACATTCTCACAGTTAGCAAGCCGTAACTAAATGTCAAAGCCAGGTGTGTCTGACTCAACCCTGTCACCCCGAGGGTGAGGGCTCCTTGAGGCTAAGGTCATGGCACCTGCAGAAAGGGGCTCCTGCCAGGTCTTGCATGACGTGACATACTCACAGGCAGCCTTCTGTTTGCCCCAAATGAGTCTGGCATGGAAGGGAAAGAAAAGCATTAAAAAATGTGCCAGTCAGAACAATTCCACAAACAGTGTCCTCCAATGTGGAGTGCTCTGCCCTTCCCAAAGCATAGACATTGCTTACCACCCCCACCCCAGCCCCAGCCGAGACCGAATGGGAAAGAAGCTCTGTGGCAGGAGCATGGCCTTAGTCCAATTTGCCTGCCATGTACTAGATTCCATGTATTTGATTCCTATTCTCTCTGCTAAGTCTCCTGCCAGCCTCAGCTTCATAGTCCCTGCTCCTCACACGACTCTTCTTGTATCTGCCTACAGAGGTTTATCTGTTCAGGCCAGGAGGCTGGTGGACCTAATGAAGAATGACACGGTAAGTCTGGGGAAGGTTCCCCAGATTTGAGGTAGGACTCCCTGAAACAGGGAGTGGGCAGGAGAAATCCATGGAGACAGAGAGGCCCAGCTTTGGGGAGAGCACAGGGCCACCCAGAAGTTCAGAGTCTACCTTTAAAAAAAAATAAAACAACAAATGACTTAGCACTTAGGCCTGTGTGACCTATGACTGCAGGACCCCAGAACCAAAGAACAGAAAATGTTGCTATCCCCCCAACCCTGTGGTGTGTGAGGACCCATCTCTGCCAGTGTTCAACACTTTGTATTTTCCTTAACTCTGGGGTAAGATATTTATTTACTTGTTTTTTCCTATTCATTTCAGAGGATAGATTTTCAAGAAGATTGGAAGCTAATAACCCTGTTTATAGGAAACAACGATCTCTGTAATTTCTGCAATGATCCGGTAGGTGTCCAGGCCCTTAACTCAAAGCTCCCACCAGGGAAGGATTGCCACCCCAGGCCCCTGGGCCGGGGGGCCTGTGGTCGGGTGTGGATCCAGCCCGGGATTAACCCTGAGATGGAGAGGAGGGCATTCACATCCAGGGAGAGATGCAACAGGACAAACGGGACCAATTATGAGATTCATCCTGATTAGGTTTCCTACCAAGGTGATCATACCATAAGTCAGCTCCTTTCTCCAGTATTGAACTGGCTCACCATCTCCACCTTTATGCTGTTACTTGTACAGGAAAGTTGACTTCCTAATGCAGGCATCTAGGCAAAGTTCAGATGGGAAACCCAAGAGCCAGGCTACTGCCCTGTGGGTGCGGTGCTTCTTCCTGGAATCCCAGATTCTCTGAGGTGGAAGAAACCCATAGCCATACCGACCGGTCTCCCACCCACAGCAGGGATGCCTTCCATAGAATCCAGTGGTTGGACATTTCCAGGGATGGGCAGCTCTTAATTTGCAAGGTAGCCCTAATTAGTATTACGAGTAGGTGCAAATTGTTTTGTGCTATTTTGTGTTAAGCCCAAATCTACCTCCCTGTGACCTCTTCCTGTGCTGGTCATGACTGTACCTCTTCTACATTCAAGTCAGCTGACTTTAACAACAATGGGTTGGTTTTTTTGTTCTGTTTTCCTTTGTTTTGTATAAGCAATGCACATAGGAAACGTATCAAAGTACAGAGACAAAAAATATTCTCTATAACGTAATTACAACATCCAGAAATGCCACTATTAACATTTTGATAAATGTCTCTAGCATCTTCTGTGACTATGGAGAAATTGCTCTATTATTTTCTCAAAATGATGTCATCCTGAAAATATTGTTTGGTAACCTACTTTTTTTTAATAGCAACATATTGAGAAGATCTTCCTATGTCAATATTTGTTATCCCATAAAATAATTCTTAATGACTGCGTAGTAACCCATAATATAGATTGTCTGTAATTGACTTAACCATTCTCAATTATTTGGCACTTAGATTATATTACTTCTAATTATGCCTCTTATAAAGAACACCAAGATAAACATCCATCTCTATGTACATCCATAATTGCTTCCTGGTATATAGTCTAAGTAGTAAGCTTTTTAAGCAAAAAGATATATATACTTTCCCAACGTTTTATCATGAAAATTTCCAAACATACTAAGAAACTGAAAGACTTGTATAGTAAATGCCCATCTACCCACTACCGAGATTCTACCATTGTTAACACTGTGCTATATTAATTTAACACATATCCATCCATCTTACTTTCTGGTGATGCCACACATTTTTAATGCTTTGGATACGTATTGCCAAATTGCTCCCAGAATGTTTGTGCCAATTACGCCTATTCGCCCACATTTCAAGTGGCAATGTATGTTATTTAATAGCTGCTAAATGAAAACATTGTATCTTGTTTTCGAATTTCGCACTTATTTACTTACTAGGTAGGAACAAACTTTTATTTCTCTTGTTTAATGCTCATTTGGACTTCTCCTTTTGATAAATTCTATATTATTGGCCATTTTCTGTTAAGGTATTTATCTTTTTATTATCGATTTGTAAAAAGCCCTTATATTAGGTATACCAACCCATTGTCAAATATGTTGCCTATTTGTTGTCTTCTACTTAGGTTTGTTTACTATGTTTTCTGATAAACAGAATTTTTATTTCCAGTTTCATTTGTTGGGCGTGCTTCCTCTGCCAGGCGGTGGACTAGGAGCTAAGCAGAGAAGTGAAACACAGGCTCTATTCTCAAGGAACTCACTCTGTCAGGGCAGGGAGACACCGTAACCCGATGAGAAAAACATCACAATATGGTTCTAGTGCTGAAGTCCGAATCGCCACGGGAATTGGCAGGGATGGGGGTTAGTGTCAGAGGTTAACACAAAGTAAGAGGCTTTCCACCTGGGACTTGAAGTTGAGGATGTTTGTCAGGCAGGAAGGAGACCAGAAGAGCAAAGTTTAGGAAGTGGCGAGTCCTGCTGTGGTCTGTGAGCACCTGCCCTGGGAGGTGACCCAGCCCCCCAGACCCCTCAGAGCCGTCTTTCCTTGCATCAGAGTCACCAGGGCCTGGGGGTTTTAAGCTGCGATGTGAAGGGCTCACAGCGGAGTCCTGTGGCTGCTGGGCGGGTGAGGAGGGGGATCACGGGCCCTCTCCCACTTCCCCCAGCTTCAGTCTGGTTGGTAGGGCAGGGCTCTTGGTTCGATTTCATTCAGAGAAAGGGTTCCATTGCTTTAAACAAGTTGAAGAACCACAAACATCAAAATCAAGAGAAAGAACCATTAAAATGTGTTTACGCTTGGGGGAAGGGGTTCACAGGACCCTTCCTCTTCCCCTCTGTTATTCCTTAAGTGATTCGACTGAGCAAGGTCCCCAGCCCCTTGAGTCTCTCAGCGGAAGCAATCAAGCCATAGGACCAGAGGATGTTCAAGCTGCAGGAGATCTTCGAGGTCCTCTGCTCCAACACCCCATTTTAGAGGGGCCCAGAGATGCTAGATGCTATAGCTGGGGCCCTGCACCTAGATGATAGGAAGTGGATCCAGAGCTTTCTTTAGCTCCATGCAGAAGAAGGGGTTTCCCATGCAGAAGAAAGGGGTCACAGCCATGACAAGCCTGAAGACCATGGGGTTGGTATGGAGGCTGGGGCCCCCAAGGCAAACCTATGTTTCAGTGTTGCCCATTCTGGCTGAAACACAGGAAGGAAGGGACCCAAGAGAGGAAGCCACCTTGGTCTGCTGAGAGAGAGAGGGTAATGGATGGTGTTAGACATTTTCTTCTTCCTGCAGGCTCACTATTCTCCCCAGAACTTCACGGCCAACATTGGGAAGGCTCTGGACATCCTCCATGCTGAGGTACGCAGGCTGGGTCACACGGCCTCTGAGCAGCTCAACCACAGCCCTCCTCCTTGGCCTCAGACAGCTTGGAGGTAGCTCTGGCTTCTAGCTGAGACCTCCCTGCCAGGTCCCCTTTAGCTGGAGACCAGCACTGACTCGTGCCATCAGTCCTGGTCCCAGCAGCCTGAACACAGAGGTGCCGACGGGGAGCAGAAGGAAGTGGAGTGGCAGGGGTGAAGGGAGTGGGTGAGGCCGGATGGGAGGCAGTAGACCTGCCACCTGGTGAGAGGGGCTGCCTAGCACCAACCCTGTCAGGAACCGATCCTGCCTTTGCTCAGGTTCCTCGGGCATTTGTCAACCTGGTGAATATACTGCAGATCATCAACCTAAGGGAGCTGTACCATGAGGAGAAAGTCAGCTGTCCAAGGCTGATCCTCAGGTAGGACAGAAGCTTCTCCCCGTTCCCGAAGGGGTCGCGGGGCCCTTGGCAGAAAGTGGCTGTGATTAGTTAGAAAACCCACGGGCAGAAGTGCGAGGAGTACTGAGACCATCCCGTTCTCTAACCTGACAAGGCCTAGAGAAGGAGACTTTTGTGACCTCAGGATGGGCCTCAGCCACCTTTGGCGTATGCATATACCGCCTGGCCATGCTTCTGTTGTCATGTCAGCTCAGGACACCCTTCAGTCCCCCAGAGGGGAGAGTCAACCATGGGGATGGAGTGGGCCCGTGTGGACAAGGCTCACTGGCCCCTGGCCCATTTTTGAGTGTGTTCAGAGCTACCCTGCCCCCCGCAAGGGGCACATTTCCAAAACAGAGGGAGCCTCTGCTTGGTGTAGGGGCTCCAGGCTGGTCATTCACAAATGTAGGGCTATTGTCACTTGCTAGAGGAGAAGGTGGCCAAATTAGATCAGTAGAGTCTAGAGGACAGTGTCTTCCTCAGAGAACAGAGACCCTCAGTCCCGGAAGACCCCCAAGAGGCCTTCTTCATCCCCAGTCTCCAAAGCCAAACAAAGGTGGCTCCCTCTCTAGTATTACGTCTCCGTGCCCCTCATAAATGACATGTCCTTCTAACCCAAACATGAACATTTCTCACAGCATTGCTTCCTACAAGGCCTCCTCTGGACCATTGGCTGATGTCATGATGGCTGTGCCCATTCCCCCCACCCCCTGCCAGCTCTGTACCAGACACTCCCCCACCCCACACACACCACAATCCTTAACACATTACATGCTAATTATTCATGAGCCTCTCCCTCATAGTCCTGAACTCTGTGTCTGAGTCACTGCGAACACAGCATAGGGGCACAGCAGCTATTTGCTGAATAATTCACAAGGGCCAGATTTGCTCCTGGAAATTAAGACATATCTTAGCTGCTCCCTTGAAGATCCATGCCAAATCTCACCTGGGGGCCCCGACTGCATAGGTCCCTTCAGGAGGTCTGAGGATGCTGTGAGCAGGAGGATGGCTGGATGACACATGCCTTTTAATGCAGCTGGTGTCAGGCATGCTATTTTCAGCTGCTGACTCATTCCCTGGCTCCCACTTTCTCCAGTCACTGGGCCACATGGGGTTTAGTGTATTCATTCCATTTCAGAGCAGCTCACCAAAAGTCTCTTGTTACTGATCAATGCCGGGTTTGTAAACAATTAAATCTAAAAGTTCAGAGTAGGCATTTGCCATGTCCGTTCTCAGATCTAAAACGGCCAGGTCACTGACTCTGGGTTCGACAGGCTCGGGTCCGGCTGCCCCTCCGGTGCTCTGCTCTCCCTGCCCCTCCACTGTTCTGTCTCAGTGGTGGTGCTTTCCTTGGTGGTGCTGAGTCTACACTGAGCCAATCCCCACTGTAATCACCTAGTCCCCCTGGTCCTAAAGCCCAGATTTGCAAGATGGTGCCAGCCAGACCAGAGCTATGTCTAGACAGAAGCAATTTAACTAGGGTTTAAGAGCTCAGGTTCAAACCAGATGGACTTGAGTTCAAGTCCTGGTTCCTACACTTAGCATCCACGTGACCTTGAGAAAGTAATTAAACGCACTGAGCCTCAATGTTCTCATCTATAAAATGGGGATAATGGTAACATAACTTCTAGAATAGCTAAGGAGGATTAAACAGGTTAAAACCCATAAAACTCCTGGCACAGTAAGTGTTCAGTATGTGTTAGCCATTATTATTATCATTGTTTTAACTATTTTGAAAAGGAGGTGTGCCTTATCTGTACTGCGCCATCCTCAAATAGTCATAAGGTCACTCAGCTCCCTAAAAATCACTCCTGCAGATGTTAGAAGTAATGATTTCATTTTCATGAGCAAATCCAGGTCTGGGAAATCTTCAGCTTCATCTGGTACACTTAACAGGTTAGCCAGCCAGGGCCCCCATTAGCACAGACTCCTGATACCTCCAAGTTAAATGTATTTCTGTGTCATGCACTCAGACAGTGATTTCTTCTGTTTGGACTGCAGGGATTTGTGCCCCTGTGTCCTGAAGTTTAATGACAGCTCAACAGAACTTGCCTCCCTCGTTGAATTGAATAAGAACTATCAGGTGAGCTGCGAAAGGGTTCTGAGCTGCACAAGTCCTGCTGTGAGGTTTGGTTTCTCTGGGTGGAAAATGAGCACATGCGTATGTTGTTTTGACCTTGACTGGGTGTGAGGTTACCACTGACCAGTTTGCAGATTTAAAAACACTCTGCAAGGCAGCAGGGACTACGATTCCATTTATTTGAATCAAGCTGTAGAGCCAAGTCCCTGAACGCACTTCACCAAGTCTCAGTTCCTGGCCGTATACAAAAACAGATATTTCCAGTTGTCCCTGGGCATGTGCATGAGCTTCCACCTCCCAGGTGGGAAACTCTCCACCCAGGGGGGTCTGGAGGATTCCATGAGACAACAGGCATTCCCTCTGCCCTGCCCCCCCAGGGACCAGGTGTTATTGGGGAGCAGGGGGGGAGAAAGAAAGTCAGCATGTGCTCTCCAAACACCCTGTGGGTCGTTTGTTTTAGGCTTTTCTCCATCAGATCTTTGACCAGAACAGCTGACTCCCTTGACTCTATCTTGAGTTTCCCCCAAATATCCAGTCACTCGAGAGGACAATGGTAGCCTTCCAGCCCTTCTAGAGTGGGCTGCAAACAGCTCCGGGTGGAGTCATCCTTTAAGACCAAGGGCTCCTTGGAACAAAACACTTCCCTGCAGACTCTTTTGGGGACAGCCATACCCGTCAGGGATATCAGGACTCAGGAGAATGAACCTCTATTTATCACGCTCCAATGCTGCCACTCAGCCCTCCAGGTGACTCCCCAATTGCATTTCCTTCTGCCACGAGCAGGTGCCTGTGTCCCCAGGGCCTGTACCAGGAGAGGGAAGTCAGCAAGGTTATGGCCACGAGAGCAAACCTGTTCCGGGTGGGGTTCTTAGGTGCAAGGAACAAAAGCTTAGGAATTCTGTTTAAGCAGATTTATTATTTCAGTAGAATACCTGGAAGAGCTAGAAAGCTAGGGTCAGAGGCCAAGCCACTGGAGTCATGGAATTTTAAGAGCCAAGCCATAAGAATCGAAATCAGGACAAAGAACTAGTCCAGCGAAGACACCATGGACACCACTGTTCCTGCTGCTTCTAGGAACTGGATGAGCTGCCACCCTCAGCAGAAGGGAGTCTGTGCTGTCCCTCCATCTTTCTATCACCAGCTCCCAACCCCAAGCCTGAGGCGGGAGCATTGATTGGGGACCTTTGGGCACATGCTCATGCCCTAGGTGTGAGGGGCATTGGGAAAGCCGGCATTTGCCTTTCTCACCTTCTACAGTGAGAAGCAGACTGTTTTTCATACAGTAGAGTTTTTCAAACACAAGGAGTGGGTTCAGATGCTGGGTAGACATAAAGGAGGACTAGCCATCAAAATTGCCTTCACTGACCTTTCTAGATTGGCCAGCTGTTCCCAGGTCTAATCCTGAGACCCTAATTAGCATCCTGGAGAAGCTCCTAGCTCAGCCACCCGAGGCCATCATGCCCTCTCTCAGAATCCTCACCCCTACTTCCTGCAAAAGCTATGGTTCCCAGCACTCTCCCTGGAGAGGGCCATGGCTATTAGTACCACCGGGTGCCAGGCATTCTAGACACTATTTCTTTCATTTCTCAAGAGGTGCATGATGCCACTGTGGCTGATCCACAGAGTAACCAGGAGCATTGAAAAGGATTTAAGGGATGGTCTGGGCCTTGCCCAACATCCTCCGTTTACAGATGAGGAAATAGAGGTCCAGAGAGAGAAAGCATCTTGCTGAGAGTCACTCAGCTAGTTAGTGCTGTTTCACCTTCTCTGCCTTGCTCAAGACTCTGCCTGTAATGAGGAGACTCCCTCAGGAGGTCAGAGGTAAGGCTTCCCCAGAACAGAGGCTCTTTCTGGCCCACCCTGGGAAAGGAAAGTTCATTGTCTTCTGAAGTGACCACGCCAGTTCCCAGGTATGCAAGCCTGACTTCCCTCTCCAGCCAGAGTTTTGGCCCCAAATGGTGGAACCTAGCAAGCAGGGAGAGAGCAGAATCTGACATAAATGGGTACCCAAACCAGGGTAATCGGTTATCCCAGAACTGAGCTCAAGTGGAAGCTGTGAGACTAAGAGCTCCGTTAACCCTCCTAGACAGATCCAAGAGTCTCAAAAGGCGTGTGCGAGCACAGGAACACACGTGCTCACACACACGCACCATGCACAAGCAATATAAGTAGGCATTAAATGTCATTGTTGATTCACCTTTGATTTTCTCAACAAATGTAGAACAGAAATAAAATAAATGTAAGGATTATCCAAACAAGTCATTTAATCAAATACAAACCCCACCCCCAGTCTTTGTTCAGAAGCTTTAAAAAGGGGATCAAGCCGATGGACTTGGATTTTTCCTTCCCTTCGCTTTTTTTCACAGCCCAGGTCAAATATATGCAATTGCAGCGGAGGGTGGGGGTAGGGGTCGAGGTAAAGGCCGATCTAAAAAGTAACTGGCTGGCTCCTGGTCAGGTGAGATTTTGCTGCAGACTGACTTCACTCAAAGGTCGGACTCTGTTTAATTCTATGGCAGAGCGAGAGATTGAGCAAAGACCGAGCAGATGCAGAGCGCCCCTGACCCATGTCCCCTTTGCCTCCTGCAGGATAGGACCCACCAGCTGGTTGAGAGTGGGCAATATGACACAAGGGAAGATTTTACAGTGGTCGTGCAGCCTTTCTTTGAAAAAATGGACATGCCAAAGACCTCGGTAAAGAACGCAAGCATCATGGCTAAGTGGGGGGCACGGGTAGTGCCCAGCTATTTCTGAGTGTCATCTGTATTACCTGATGTCTCATAACATGGTCCCTCCTGTCTGCCCTGTGACCAGGAGGGGTTGCCTGACAGCTCTTTCTTCGCTCCTGACTGTTTCCACTTCAGCAGCAAGTCTCATGCCCACGCTGCCAGCGCCCTCTGGAACAACATGGTAAGTAAGATGACTGAGATAGGAAAGATTATTCTCCCTCTGACAAGAAAAAGACTCTGGAACGCTTTTGTCGGACCTCAGAGGCCCGTCACTCAGGCTGTGAGTCCCGGCACAGCGACGATAAAAAAAAAATCCCATTTCCTTTGTCCCTCCCTCCCTTCTCCAGAACTGGCCTGCATCCTGACCACCTCTTATCATTCCTGCCACCTCTTTCTCACACTCCATCTTTCTGCTTCTTGGTTTAGCTGGAACCTGTTGGCCAGAAGACAACACAGCATAATTTTGAAAGCGAGATCAATATCACGTGTCCGAATGAGGTAGAGTGAGAAGCACATCCTTGCAATGGCTCCATCTAAAACATCTTTTCCAGCCTTTTAAAGTCTCATTAGGGTTTTCCAGTTCACTGCATACCAGGGTTCCACCCTCACTGCCAGCTTTGATCACCTACCCACTCATTCCAGTTAACCATCCACAATGCTCCGTCTGGTTGGACTGTGATGGATGACAGTTCCAGGAGACCCTAGAGTGCTCCTTCATCTCACATGTCACAGCGAGCCCTAGCACAAGTGTGGGCTGCACAGAGCTCTTTCTTGCTGGAAAAAGAGACACGGCAGCACCATCCAGCTTTCATTTTGAAGGCTAGGGGCAGGGAGAACATCAAGGTCAGGGTGGGACAGAAGGGCACTCTGTCTCCACGTAGCCACCACCTCCATGGGAAGAGTGAGGAGCCTGGAATCAGATCTGCCAGGACAGAGGTGGGGATGGGGATGGTCATTTGGAAGCTGGAGCTAGGAAAGCAGACGATAACCAGAGAGGCAAAGCAAATCAAGACCCTCATGTTCACTCAAAAATTGAAAGATTCTTGGACTTCTGCAGCTGCTCCTTCACCTCTGTGAATTCCTCTGCAGCCCCAGAGGGGGCCCACTGAGCTGGGGCTTGCATGGGGCCGGTCCTCAGAGCTCCTCACTTTTTTCGTCTGGGCAGGAAGGAGCCCAGGCTGCTGTAGGGTAGGAGGGGCATGGGGAGGCAAGGGGACTCTAGGGAGTAGGCGTATGGGCTTGTATTAGCAGAGTGGTGCCCTGTTGGGAGGGGGCAAGGTTGAGAAAGAGAGGTGACATAGCCACCCCAGCCAGCTGGGTGCAAGGTGAAGAGCAGACATGGTCATTCCTAGGGTCTGTCCTAATAATCGTGCTGCAGGGTTTATCCTAATTGTTCAAGCAGATTCAGAGTATGTTGGGGTTGCAGAGAAAGCCCCAGTGCATCCTGGGAGGGAGCCCACAGGGTCAGCCTGGCAGGGAGGGGCTTGCAATGCGGAGCTGGGAGGCCGAAGGTGTTGAAAGTGTTTACGCCGAGGTCAGCACTTCTTGAGGGTGGGCGAGCAAAGAGCAGCACAGGAAGCGAGCTGAATCGCCGTGGTTGCTCACCCCCCTCTTCTCACAGGACTGGCCGTTTCTGAGCACCTACAAGAACAGTGTGCAGGTATCTGCGTGTTATTTTCTTTCGGCTCACCAGCCACTGCAGTGGGTAGCCCCTGAGCTGGGGCTGGCCCAACAGGGTGGGTGGGAACAAGGAGGCTCACACTCTTTTATAAAGTCCATCCACCTATACCTCAGATGGATGGACCAGCTAATGAAATCACAGCCTTATCAAAGACATAGATGAAGATTCTGTTCTCCTCATAAAGCTGCTGTAGAATCAGGGGTGGGGTGGGGTCATTTTGTTGACACCCCGATTCTTGCATGGGGTGGTAGAGGGGTCTAAACTACGTTAGCAGATCCCAGGCTGGCTGATGTTCAGAATGGCCTAGGGAGCGTGTGTCAAGTGCCCTTCTGGGCCCCTTCCCAGGGAGGCCCAGAAGTCTGGGTGAGTCTGATGCCTAGCCAGCCTCTCTAGTCCGTTTCATCCCTGAGATTCATTTTATTCCCTTAGGATCATGGGAGCCAGCTGCTGTGCAGTGACAGAGACCCATCTACCACACCGCCCACCTCAGGTAAGCCCCCTGTGACACACCAGGACTCCGGACCTCTCCACAAGGACTCGCAGGTTAATGAGTGCTCCAGCAGAGCTTTTCACATGTCACTGAATGACTCAGTTATGGCCAGTGCTTGCTTCCTGTCTGGGTGGTCACCTGGAACAAGTCCCTGATTTGTCCCTTTCCACCCTGTAGTGATCGATGTCTTACCAGTCAAGCCTGGAACTGTTTGCTGCCCTCCCAATTCAGCCCCTTAAAGAGAGCACGAGTAGAGGAGCATGTAAACCCCCCGATCAGTGCCCCAGCCCTGGGATGTGCCTTCACTGAGGCCCAGACATGGGGAGTGGGGTGCTGAGGGAGTCCCAGGAGGAAGCCAGCTCTGCGGGTCATCCTGGGGCCCCAGGATCTGCAATTACTGCTACCTACAAGGCTGGAAAGGTCCCCGGAGTCTTCAGAAGACACTTGAGGGCACAGAAAGGCCTGACATGATTATTTCTCAGATTCTTGGTGGTAATCCAGAACCCAGACATAAATGGGCTGTGCATCAGGCCCTGAACCTCGGCTCAGATGGCCCAGTGCACTCAGGTCACTGCTGACCTCCCACATTACCGCTGGGATCGCACTGTGCCTCCTCGACCACACACCCAGCCATCCTCTCCCCTTCCTCCTCTCCCTCCTCACAGGTACAGGATTTCTCTACTGTGTGTCTTACGGGGACAAGTTGTCTTCCTATAACCTCCGCCTGCACAGCACTATGGACACGCAGTCCTGCGTGGCCCAAACCCACGTGCAGGTTGTGTTTCTGGTTTTGCTTAAAACGAGAAGCACCAGACTGTCACGGCAGCTTCCTTTCCATGGACTCAAGTGTGTCCATTTGTCTCCCCAGTGCATGCCCTGAGACCTGCAGACATCCAAGTCGTAGCTGCTCTGGGGGATTCTCTGACTGTAAGGACTCTGGGGCCCTGGGTAGGGTGGCGCTGGGGGTGGCTGCATCAGTTCCAGGTCCCAGTTCTCCTGACCCAGGGCCCGCACTGCTGACTGCTGCATGATCCTGCTCCTCTCCCCTGGCTCTGCCAATCCAAGAACATGGCAGTGGCTTGTTTTGGAGCCGCTTTCTCGCTCAGGTGTGCAAAGGGAAATCTTTTTCAGGAGTGAACTGAATTATCTCAGAGAGTGGAGGTTTTGAACCCCTAACAACACTTCATTAACAAATTGCAAAAATATGTCATTTTGACTCAAAGAGTCTTCCGTACCGACCTACGTGGGTGGTCTTTTCCCTTTGGACGATGCTTTCCAAGCAACGCAGACCCTTCCGTTTCCTGTTTGCCTCTGCACGGAAAGCACAAAGACCCCAGAGTGGTGGCTAAAACCCTTCTCCTAAGTTCTGAGAAAGAAGGCTGTTTTACCAACCCAGATGACCGCTTTCTGGCAGCATATCTACGGCCATGGGATGTCCCAGAGGGAAGAGGAGAAATGTGAAGTTTATGGGAAATCTGCCCACTGCAGTCCACTCTCAAAGCTATGAGCTCTTTCGTCATTGCTGATAAAGAACTTAGGAGCATGATGCCGATAGCAATGACGTAACAGTGTCTCACATTTGTAAAGCATTTTAGAGTCTTCCAAACTTCTTACAATCAATCCAGTTTGGTCATTAAAAGAACCTTGTGAAATGAACAGGACAAACAGAGACTCAGGGACATGGACAATGGACTAGTGGTTACCAGAGGGTAGGGGGTGGGGGAGGAGGGAAGAGATAGACAGGGTAAAGGAGGACAAATATAGGGTTTAGGGGGAGGATGAAGTGGGTAAAGGGGATCAAATATATGGTAGCTGAAGGAAACTGGACTTTGGGTGGAAATCACACAATAGAATATACAAAGGTCAAATTATAATGTATAATTTGGTATTAATTGATATAATATTCAGGTGTATAATTACACACCTGAATATTATATAATTATATTAACTAATGTTACCGCCAATAAACTTAAAAAAATAAAATAAATTAAAAATAAATAGAAGAATGTGCCTGTGAGATGAGCAGGGCCTGTCCTCAGCGTAGTAAGGAGGCAGCTGTGATTTGCAGAACGCGAGCCAGGTCCTCTGACTCCTGGCCCGGCGTTCCGCTCATGTGGGATGAGTATGTTGGGAGCCACCCGCAGATGCCCTGCATGTTCACAGCATCCCTTTTATTTGATTTGCTGACTTTCCTGTGTATTTTGGTATATCTTCAAAGGCTGGCAATGGAATTGGCTCCAAACCAGGCGACCTTTCTGATGTCACCACTCAGTATCGGGGGCTGTCATATAGGTAATGTTAACCCTTGACCCCACCACCCCATGTTCATACCCAGAGATTGGAGCGGGGGGGTGGAATTATGTCATATAAATGCATAAATACCAACGAGCAAGGACCAGGTCTGGAAAGGTTTTTCAGAAGGAAAAAATATATATATCTATAAAATGTGACAATATGGTGAGCAGAAAGGATCTTTTACTGTTGATGACTTTCTTTTTTTTTTTTCTTTTTTAAAGTCGTGCAGAAAAAGCAACCCAGGGTTCTTATCAGACTCCTGGGTCAGCCAATCTACCATGAAATGTACCTGAAAAGCACCAAACCTGAGTCTTCACCTGCCCATTTGCATGTCCATGCGCACATGTAAACGCCCTCATGTCTGTTTCCTGTCTCTATGTATGTGTCCTTCTATAGTCTCTGCCTTTACATGTATGTATACATCTGTACACACGACTCCAAAACCACGCACACTGCAGGAGGAAATAACTGAGACCAAATCACTACCAACAGGTGTTGAACGAGGGGGGTTTGTGGGAAGCACAGGGAAGCGCTTGTGCTCATTTGGCAAGTACTCTGTAAAAATAAAAGATGTCCGAGAGGACCATAGAATAGGGAACAACCAACCCTGGCAGCAGGGATGGAAAGGCTTCCCAGAGAAGGCGGTACCCGGCCATGTCTTAGATTAGCAATCAGGCAGAAAGGGCGAGAAAGAGCGTTCCAGCCACGGCAGTAGAAAAGGTCAGGTGTCGGGTGAGCGGTTGGATGTGGGTATTCTTAAGTTTCTTCCTTTTCTAATAAAGTTCCTGTTTATGTGTGCTTCACAGTAATTGGAGGTTTGCTCAGAATGCAAAACCATTAGAACAAAGCCGGCCGCGAGAGGGCAGAGCACTAAAGAGAAGCCGAGCGGCCCAACCACGTTCGCCTCCTCCCTTTTCCTCAGCGTGGATTTAAATGAAATATTTCTTCCAAGAAAGTGAGAGGGAACGGCGTGGGGACGATCAGGATAGTGACAGTCCTCTGGCCAACCCTGAGGATAGTCTCAGAGAGAAAGGTTTTCCTGGGTGAGAGAGGTGTCCTCACTCAGCCTGCAGCCACCCACGGAGAGGGTCAGGGCTTGGAAAACAGGAGGACATCGCCTGCTGAGAGCTGAGGTACAGGCCTCTGCGTTCCACCCCCCAACCCCCCAAGTTTCCACATACCTCAGCCAGGTAGGTGGTCTCTACCGGGCTGCTGTGGAACAAAACAGTCTCACCGTCTGACCACTCTGCCCCAGACGTTACCGAGGCTGCCAGATGCAGAGCGAGCAGAGCCCACTGCCATCATGAAAACACAGGAGGCTGTGGCAGCCGCATTCAGTCTCAGCTAAAGAAGGCAGTGGCCTCACATCGCAATGTGGACAAATAGAAGTAAAGTAGACAAACCAACCAGCAGAGGGTGGGTGAGCTGTACCTGGGTGATGTGGAACGGGGCAAATTCCCCTGAGTAACGGGGGGTGGACCAAGCTCTGCACTGAGAGGAGAGGGTTCTTTGGCGGAGGGTGTAGAAGGAATTCGACACACACGTCAACGTTAGATTCAAGAGGAAAGTTTATTAGAAAAGGGGTCACACTCCACAGAGTGTGGCCTCCCCTCAGAGGCAGAGAGGAGGAGCACCTAAGAGGGACGAGGACAGTGAGAGAGACAGAATAGAAAGTACCTAGAGAAAAAGATTGAGAGGGACCTGGAGTGTTTGGGGAATTCAGCTTACATTCATTCTATAGTTCCTGTGAGTTACAGTTTAAAGGCTGTGTTTACCCATTTCCTTTGATATGGACAAACAGGGAGGAAGCGGAAGGAAGAGTATGGAGACTTAAAAGGCCAGCTGGCAGTTCGCAGACTTTAATCTATAGGTTCCCCATGGTTTTAGCCCTAGGGAATGAACGATTTTATTTGCGTAGGGGCCACTTAGAGACTGTTGTTCCTGTTTTCCCTTCACAGGTGTGAGGTACCGGTTGTTAGCGATCCCAGCAGAAATCTTCCTTTGTTCTGCAGGTGTCCTCCTGGCCTGGCTGCAGGGCTGGGCAGCGTGTTGCAGTCTCGGAATGTAGCTTGATTTAACATTTTAATTCTCTTGCCTCCTCCCTACATTTCAGGGAAGTGAGGTGATCTGCCCAACTTTACAAACAGTTCTATAGGACAATCTCCTGCTAGACATTTCCCTCTCCAAATATGGAAACATTCAGCCATTGCTCTGTTTCTTTCTGCAAGTGAGGTCCAGTAAGGCCTACTGTTTCAGTCCCCCAGTTCTCATTCCAAGGCCTCTGTATTCAGTGGCTGCTGTCCCTTTAAACCCTTTGTCCTAAATTTTCAAATATCTGCCCTAGTGTATTATTATTATACTATAGATCCACATACGTTAAAGATGGAAGTTCCAGCTCAGAGCCTGAGAGACAGTCCGACACTTGAGTATATAGAATACTATACATTCTACCGTTTTCCAGAGTGTGTTGCATGAAACACTAGCCCCAGCCACGTTCCTGAAGAGGCAAAATTCTTTGTAGTTTTTAAAAAACATTACCTATTGTATCCTTTCTCTGAGGAATTCACATGCATGCTAGCATATTAAAGGCTGTGAGAAGCTCTACAATGAAGGCCTCTGTTTAAACGGTATCTGGGTGATCCAGTGTTCCCAGAACGCTTTCTTCGTTCACATACCTCCTAGCATCCCCTGGGAAATATCCATGTAGTAGACTGATCTGAGAGAGGCAGTTTTCTGAAGCAATTAAAGCTTCTAGATTGGAAATACCAGGCAACGAATAACTCTAGGTGAATTAAGAATGCAATTTGAGCCTTTTCCTCCAAGGAAACCAAGTAGAGAGGACCTAATGGAGTTGAATGGGGGAGAAGTGGACCCAGAATTCTTGGGAGGTAGGTGGCTGTGAGCAGGACCTACAGAAGGAGGTTTGACTGTGATTATTTCCAAGGCTCCTTGACCTGTGAGAGTCACAGAGATTGAAAGTGTAGCAAACCAAAGGCCTTTAGAACATTGCCTCTTCTTCAGTTGAAATAAGTTTGCTTGTTTGGCGCCATTCAAAGGACCCAAATAAAATTTACTTAGTAGAAAATGTGTTTCTTTGTCTTGTTAACTGGAGTTCAATCACACGTTAATGAAACTTCTTTAACAAAGGTTATTGAGCATTTATTCTGTATTTTTCTGTGTGTCGTGGGTGATAACAGATGAAAGAAGCCCAGCCATGGAGCTGGGCTAATCGGAAGGTCTCTCGTAGACTAGCTGTTTCCTATGGATCTCTCTTCTTTCATGTGTCACATCGCTCTGATAAAAATGAGGGCTTAAATGTATTGCTACATATTTATTTGTATAATTCTCTTTTTTTCCGAAAATGGGCTCAGAGAGAGAGGTCTGGAGCCTGTTCGTCTCGATCAGCCACCACGCTTGTTTTAGAACAAAGAAATGACAAGTAGGATGTCCTTGACAGGTGTGTTTATGCATGCCTCTGTGTTTATGTTTACATGTCTACTGAAGGAAAAAAGGAAACGGAGTGAGAACGCAGTGATTGGAGAAGGTGGATGATTTATAATTTCCTTTCAAGTGTAACGTGTTCTAAGTAAAGGCTTTTAGTCCGAAGAAATAAGGATCAGGAAACAGCTAAGGCAGCAGCTTCATGTACAGTGGGAAAAGAATCGTGAGCTCAGATGCCCAGCCATCTTGTTCAGACATCTGATGAGAGGTGGGAAAGAGATGCCTGAGTGAGGTTAGAAAGGTAGGGCTTATCTGGCTTCTTTCTCTCCACCACCTGGGGCTGCTGAATGGCTTGAGCTCAGCCACCCTGGAATGAAATAGTCAACTTCATTCCAAGCATTCCTTGCATGAAGAACAGCCATGAGCCATGACTTTGATTTATGGCCCGACCCTACTACTGGTGGACTGGATGCTAACACCATGTTCTTAAAATCTATTGGCCTGGAACAAATATGCTGGGATTGAAGAGGGTGGGGCAGAAAAAAGTAACAGTAAATACAGTACATTTGAACATTGGACTTTGTTAAAATAGAAATACTTCTTGCTTCCCATGTGAATTCAGTTTGAATGCATGCAAGGAAATGTATGTCTTGGAGTCAGATTGAAGGCCATAAAACGCAGTTAGATTAAATGAAATTAGATTGGGCATTGGAAGGCAGAGAGGCCATCCCCTGAACCTGCCACTGGAATTTACATCACCATGGGGCAGAGAAGAGCTTATCCATTTTCTGAAGGTTTCCAGCTCAAGCTGGTTTTTACTTACCTTTATGGTCCTGAGTTGCCTTTAGGAAGTTAATGAACCCCTGTGCACCTCAGCTTCCTACTCTGTAAAACGGAGATAGTCACATCTACATCATAAGCATGTTGAGAGAGATGAGATGACTCATGTAGCAAATCTAGTTCCCGGCTAGGCACATAGTATGTACTCAGCTAAGTGCTCTCCCTCCTGATTTGGTGGAGAAAAGAAACAGCTCTCTCTTGCCTTCAAATCCTGGATTTGGAGGAATCCAACCCATTGAGGAATCTGAATTTTCTCAGAATCCCTCAAACACAAAGAGATGGGTCTGGCATATCTTACAGGTGCTGATGGCACAGGCACTCTTTTGCAAAGCCTATGTACTGATTTCAGTCTCACTGGTTTGCTCACTCCCTTACAGTTCAGGAGGAGATGGCACTCTGGAGACCGTGACCACCTTGCCAAGTAAGTAACCACCAGGGGCTTGAGTCTGTCCACTCCTTGTATCTGACCCCCAGGCTTCTTGAGAGTGCCTCTGAGCTAAGAAAGAGGAAACAACATCTTCCTTACGACTACCATTGAAATGGGAGGAGAGGCTCAGGGACAGGCAGCCGAACGGGGTGGAATAAACATTCTATTTGGAGCCCAGAGACCTGGGTTCAAGCCCCAGCCCTTCTGCGTGCTTGCCAGGGGGCTGAGGGCCAGTTACCAAAAATTCTGAACCTCAGGTCTCTTCAGCTGGTGCAGAGCGTGTGGAGACAGTCAGATGAGAGAGGATTCTCTGCACAATTTTCTGTGAATTGTGAAAAATGAGGAAAAAGAAAAAATTGAGAGGTTCTTGCTGCCTTGGTGTACCCTGTCCTCAAGTCATTTCAACTTAGGCCCCAACTTCTGCTGGGCACACACTCCACCTCTCCCTGGGCTACATGAGTCTGGTAACACAGCTCACTTTGGGGACCCTAGACCAGAGAACATATCCTGGCTTTCCGTCCTAAGTTCTCCATGTCCTGTTCACCCCGTCTTCTTCCAGATATCCTTCGGAAGTTTAACAGAAATCTTACAGGCTATGCAGTGGGCACAGGTGATGCCAATGACACAAATGCGTTCCTCAATCAGGCTGTCCCTGGAGCAAAGGCTGAGTATGGCATTTGGGGAAGGGGGCCTATGGGGAATGGAGTGGGAGGCATATAATCCCCTTGAAGACTAGAATACTGACCTCTGTGTGTAAAGGGGACATTTATCCATTTGCAGCCATGATTTGAGGGGCTCTTGGCCTCTTTCTTCCCTGGCCGCCACTCTGACTAAACTAGAGGCTGGAGCTTAGACAAGACTCACGCCCCTAAAGGCTGAACGCCTGACCTTGCTTTCAGGTGCATCATGTTCTAATCATTTGACTAACTGACCAGCATTATCCAGTTTTTAAAACTTGCCATGGCATGATGGTGCTAGAGATATTCACCCTCTCTAAAGTCTCAAGTGGCAAGTCCACCACATGGATTGGCAAGCCAGAATCTCCAGCCTTAGAGGCTTCTGAGGCAACAAGTCATGTCCTGTCACTAACCCCACTGTGGAGCTAACAGGAAGTACAGTTGCAAAGCCAGAAGCAGCTAAAGCAGAAGTGTTCAGCCTCCCAGGGACCTCCCAAGGAGGCCCCTTGTCCTGCTCCTAGAGGCCCCAGCGGCCTGGGTTCCCTTGTTCCTTCCTGGCCAGCTGCCTGAGTCTGTCACACTTTCATCTTCTTGCTCAGGCCCACACCGTTCTGGTTGATGGGCACAGTCCCCAGACCTGTTCACGCAGCCTGAGAAGATCCTTCTTGGCAATAGAAATAGCTGGGGACAGATGAACCCACCAGCAGGTCCCTAAAGATAACCATGCCATGGATCCATCTCAACCAGATCTATAACAGAGACCTGAACTAGTGGGGGACTTGAGATGTCCAAGATCTAGTCCTTCCATGAATTATGCACCCAGGCAGGTGTGTAGTATATACTTATTCCCATATATTTCTAAAAGAAGTATTTGGATAAGTTTATAAAATATACAAACACACACATACACACAAATAAAATATACTTAAAGAAAAATAACAGCCACTGGGAAGGAGAAGAAGGAAGCAACTCTATCAATATTAGCATTGTTGTACTTGAGCATCAAACTCTCAGCTTCCTGGCAGCCAAGGTAAAAAGAGAAAGCATGCTAAGACTTTCAGAGATCTAACTTCAGGATCTACATCAGTCCTCAAAGGAGACAAATTGTTTCCTGGCATGGAATCCTAAAAGACACTCCTAAAAAGGAGACCACGGGCCACAAATGTGATTGACAGTACCTCTGACTACAACTTGAGGACAGACACACAACTGGCTTTACAAGGCTTATCTGTTGTAATCACTCTCCAGAACAGGCACGTATCTTTTTGTCCTTTAGCCTCAGGGTCTCTGCCAGCTCATGCAGTGGGGATAACACCATGGAAACCTCCAGTTCAGGCCCTTTAGGATGAAAAATCCGAGCACTGTTCCTCAACAGGACTGATTTCCTCTCCTTCTCAGGGGACTTACAAGCCAAGTTCAGACTCTGGTGCAGAGGATGAAAGATGACGCGGTGAGTCAGATTTCCATTACTTTTAAACACTAATTTTCTAACCCACAAAAGTCCCCAAATGGAATGGTCTGCCATGAAAATGGTGAGCCCCCTGTCACCAGAGGCATTCAAGTAGCAGTAGGGTAGCCCTAGTCAGAGACCCTCTGGAGGAGATTATGTCAGTGGGGAGAGGTTTGTTGCTGATCACAATGACCTTGAAAGTCCTTCCTGATGCTAATCTGAGGTCTATAAAAAAAACCTCTAAAATTCTTTTAGCTCTGAGATTCTGATTCTATTATTTTAAGTGGGCAAGGAAGTCTTAGAAGGTTGAATGAATTTCCTAGAGCTATGGTGTTTTTTGTTTGTTTGAAATTACCAAGCATTTTCTTCCTTCTATGTAGAGAGTAAATTTCCACGAGGACTGGAAGGTTATCACGGTGCTGATTGGAGGCAGTGACTTATGTGACTACTGCACAGATTCGGTAATGGGGAGGCGGGGTTCAGGCCTGCTTTCCTCCTGACTGACCTGGAGGCCTTGGTGAGCCTCTTCGAGAACAGTCCCTAGAATCAGCCCTAAGATTGTCTGAACAGACGTGCGTGTGTGCGTACGTGTGCGCATGTGCACGCACTCACGTCTTACTCCATGACCCTCGGGTTTCTGACTCCACCTCCACGTCCCAGATGGCGTGAGGTAGCAGGTGACAGATAGACGGTGCTTCTATCCCCCTGTCACAATTTCTGAGAATTCAGAAAGAGAAGAAACTGTAAACACCAAGCGGTTGGAAGGAGAACTCTACTTTCTGCTCCTGAACCAAAATTCTGGCTGGAGGTTCCAGTCTCTGGCTGGCCCCGCTTTGATAACAGCGAGTAGTTAACTGCTCATCTCAAATTCAGACTTGATGAGGTAGTGACAGCTGGAGGCCAGAGGGCGAACGAGTCCTTAGGGCCACAGCCAGAAGGGGGGCCTACGACTGCCCCCACAGCCCTCTCCCCCTAACCACCTTCCCCTCTCCCCCCTGTCTCCCCAGAATCTGTATTCTGCAGCCAACTTTTTTGACCGACTCCGCAATGCCTTGGACATCCTGCATAGAGAGGTGAGTGGTAACAGCTCAACTGTGGATGGGGAAAGAAGGTGAAATACCCCCTGCCCTGAAGGACACCTCCAAGGGCATGGGCTCTTCTTTTTCCAGAGGTTGGGTCCTACCCCTAAGGAAGCCTCATTCCATTTGGAATCAGCCCGGAAGGATCTCAGGCTTGAAGAAGGGAGGGCAGTGTGTATACTAATCATCCCCCCGCCACTACCTGGGATATTCCCTGGTGGTCACAGCTGGGTGGCTCCAGGCTGGGCACTGTACTCTGGACCATAGGGTGGGTCTAGAGCAAGCCCCTCCCTGGTCCTGTGCCCAGCAATGTGCTCTGTCCTCACCCCTGGCATAGGCAAGCTGCTCCTATACTCTGACCTCCAGATGCTTCGCTGGTGGCTGAGTTGCCAGGCCTGCTCAGCAGAGTTAGTCCGGATTGGGATGGAAGGAAATAATCAAGGGCTGGAGAGAAATAATCAAGAGCTAATGTCCTGGCAAATGGGGTACCTATTTCACCAGATTTAAGCTAACGAATTTGACTCCACCAACTGTTGGCTGAACAGAGCTGAATTCAACATTTAGACTTTGGTCTGCCATGTTGTCCCACTCCAGGAAGTGCCATTCATACTGCAGCCCGTGTGGGTAACATGGCCTGCATGGTAGCTCTGTGGAGCTCAGGGACCTCTGAGCTGGAGTTCTACAGAGAGCCTGGAGCCTGTACCCACCTCTCTGGGCTGTAAGGCAGCTAAAGGAAGGAGCCCCTGGAGCCCCTCTCTCATCTGTGGCCTTGCCCTCAGGTGCCCAGAGCCCTGGTCAACCTCGTGGACTTCATGAACCCCAGTGTCGTACGGCAGGTGTTCCTGGGGAACCCAGACAAATGCCCAGTGCAGCAGGCCAGGTAGGCAGGTGCCAGCTGCCCCCAGCTGGAGGAACGCTCACCATCTATCTGGTCTGGCTTATGCAGTGACTCCTTGGGGTCTTTGTGACTTGGTCTGTCCAGGTGTCCAGGTCTGTCCAGGGCATCTTGAGCCATTCCGGGAGGTTGGAGCCATGTCTTCCCCTTTATTGAACCTCAGGGTGCTATAAGGAACCTCTGTGACATGGAGGAGCCCAAGGGGAGAGGTCAGGTCTAGGGCAAAGACTAGTGCTTGAGAGACAGTGTGGCCCAGCCTGTGAAGGGACAGCATTTAGGGTTATGTACGTACGTAAGTGGTCAAACTGAAGCAGAAGGCGAGGAAATGAGCCACACAGTCCAGTCGCCTTTAGGGAAAAAAGCAAACTGGTTAGGGACACGGGGAACTTCAGAGTCGAAAGGTTTGTTTCTCAAGCTGGGTGAGAGGTATATGGGTGGGTGTTTTATTATCCTTCATACCTCGTATGTACATTTACTTATTTAACAAATGCTTTGTAGAACTTACTGTGCACCAGGCACTGTCCTGAGTGCTTCAGAGATAATATCTCTTTTAATAATAAGTATATTTTATGGGTATGAAATGATACATAATAAAATAAAAGGAGACACCGTGGGGCATTAGTATGAACTAAGGAGATGTCTGGGGGCCATGAGTGTCAGAGGCCCCAAAATACCAGCTCCAATACTAGAGGGTGCATTTTTATTTTTAAAAATTAAACATTGCATTTTCATTGCCTGAATTCATTAGTCCGGTGTAATTTGCTGTAGTCACAGTGCCTACAGTTTAATACTTGTGCTATTTTAATATGAGAGGGCTCATTCATATACCCTTGGGACGTTATCCACTCCCTGTGTCAGATCTGAAACCTGCTCCTGAGCATGTGTGTCAGAGCCTCAGGTCACATGTGCTCCTAAGCCTGGCTCTAGTGAGCCACGCTGTGCCGCAGAACTAGACCCTGACCAGAACTTTGGTTCTGGGTCTTCCTGCCCCCCTCTCTTTGTGCAGCATTTTGTGTAACTGCGCTCTGACCCCGCGGGAGAGCTCCCAAGAGCTGGCCAGGTTGGAGGCCGTCACCAGAGCCTACCAGGTGAGACCAAGAAGGGCACCATTTGGTGTGCCTTCCCCCCACATGATTTACACACCAGCCCTGAGCTCCCTAGGGAGTCACACAGGTGAGGTAGGCATGCAAGATTCGAGGGAGATCTTCACCATCTAGGCCCCTTCCTCTGCCCCACCTGGCTGAGGCGTCTTAGGTACCCTGGTTGGAGTCATCCCAAAGGATTCCAGGTGGCAAAGCCCTCATGGCCCAGCTACACGTGGTGGCTTAACCCTAACACTTGGCCTGAGGCGGGCAGTAGCCCTGGATGCTCCGTAGGACTGCCTTTCTCTCCCCTTCACCCTGGGGCCACCCACCTCCTCAACAGGCAGGCCATGAGTCGTCGTAAGAAGGTTGTAGGTCCTGAATCTGGGGGTCCCCGGGAGACTCTTCCTAGGTTTTTATTCCTTGTAGGACTTCCTGGCCCTTCGAAGCTTGCAATTCACTTAAAAGCAAAACAGAAAGGTGACCCAACCTGTTGCTAATTCTCTAGAAAGAGCCTTGCAATTAAGTGTGTTTGTGTTCTCAAAGGAAGGGCTGAGGTAGCAACTCACCCCCACCAGGGAGAGGGGGGTCGGGACTCTGCCCATCGCTCCCACCCTTGCCCCACTGGGCTCTTGGGCCACCTAGGGCCTGTGCTAAAGGCACCCATGCATGTGTCCCTAGAACAGAATGCGCGAGCTGGTGGAGTCAGGCCGCTATGACACGCGGGAGGACTTCTCCGTGGTGCTGCAGCCCTTCTTCCACAACATCCAGCTCCCCATCCTGGAGGTATGCTCCCTGCCCTCCCAGCGGGGCTCCCAGAGAGAAGAGGAAATTCAGGGCAGAAATGCCAGGTGCTTCCATGAGAGTGTGAATAAAATGAAAAAGCCGCAGGCAGCTCTCCAGGTGCTGGTCTGAGGGGCGCAGACTCCTTGAACATCTGAGCTGCATTCCCGGAGGCTGCCTGATGTAGGGTGTTCTCATTACTATTGAGAGCAGCCTCCATTTTATTGAGCACCTACTATGTGCCAGGCACTGTCCTTGCCATACATCGAATCTTCACAACTATCTTTTGAGGGTGAGTTTTATCATCCCCATATAACACAGGCTCAGAGATGTGAAGTCACCTTCCAAAAATCACATAGGAAATACGGAACAGAGAGGCAAGATTTGAACATGTCCAGGTCTAGAATATTCACTTTCTGCCACACACACACGACATTGCGGTCACCAAGGAGAGCGCTGGGTATTGTTTCTAACCTGGCCATACTCTCCAGTGGACACTCCCACTGTGAGCAGAAGAGGATGTGAGTGGACCAAGGTGGGTCTCGGTTATGTCTACCTGGGCCTCCATCCTAGAGGCTTCACCTAACTGAAGGGAGCTTCAAGCACCCTTGAGTGCCTCAAGAGAAAGGAGGGTGGCACACTTTCCTGGAATCGGCCTGCCCCGTTCTCCCCACCAAGGCCACTGAGATCTGCCGGCCAAAGGCTGGGAGTACCTTCTCCCAGTGGGCTGGCCGAGACTTCCTTAGGAACTAGGTCCCATCCTCTCAGCTATGGTGTGGGCCAGGCGTCACACAAATGTGCCTGGAAACAAATATGGCAGTTTTTTTAATTTTATTAAATAAGAGGGATTGTCGGGTTAGAAAGGAGGATGAGGTTTGGGGGCCACCCAAGGCTATGAATCTGTGGGATCATTCTCATCTCCTTCTTTAGGTGGGCAGGCCTTGTACAAGGCCAATGGCTCAGAGACCCAAAGAGCATTGAGGGATTGATCCCAGGGGTCAGGTCAATCAGCTGTGGCTCCCTGTCCATCCTCTGTACCAACAGGATGTTGAGGAAGTATATTTCTCTTCTCTAGGATGGACGCCTGGATATGTCCTTCTTCACCCCAGACTGCATCTACCCAAGCCAGAAATTCCACTCTCAGCTCTCCAGAGCCCTTTGGGTCAATATGGTAAAAATAAGTGGGGTGTCCCTGGTTCTCTGGGGTTCTAGTCTAGAGCAGAGCGCCAGCCCCCACAGAATGGAGCTTGTTCTTGACCTCCTTTGCCAGCAAAGTATAGAGGAACAGTGACTGGCACATCTGTAGAAGTCTAGAATTGAAACTATGAAGTCTTTAAGATCCCAGGATCAACTACACCCTCTTCTCTGTGCTTTGGACTCTGATGAGGGACTATTTGCATGAATGTAAGGTAGAACCTCACATTTATTCAACATTTTCTATATGTTGGCAACTGTGCTAGGCGCTTTAAACCATGTTACCTCATTTAAGCTTCTCAACACCCCTGCAAGAGAAGTATTATCAGTTTCTGAGGAAGCTGAATCCCAGAGAAGCTAAGAGAATCACCCAATATCCCACAATTGGCAACTGGCAGAGCCCCCGAGATCAAGTTCGGAGTTTTCCCCGCTGTGGGATGCTGCCAGGGAATATTCACTTCCACAGAAACAAAGGAGTACACCTGTGTCTCTCTTTTCTTCCCCAATCAGCTTGAACCACTAGGAAGGAAAACGGAAACCCTAAACCTGACAGCAGATATATCCCTCTCCTGCCCGACTCAGGTAATCAGGGAGGGCCAAGGTTGATAAGAAGGCTCATTTTAGCAGCTGGCGTGTGGGGCAGGTGAGAGACTCAGGCTGTAGGTGAGGTCTAGCGAGAAGCCGGCCAGATCAGAAGTTGTGGTTAGTGGTGGTAAAGCCTGAACTGGGAGTTTCCAGCAGGGCTAGGGTCAAGGAGGAGAGCCTGGGAGCTGTGTGGAGGAGGGGCAAGTAGGAGTGGCCTTTCGAGAACTTGGGTGAGGACTCGGCTCCTTTTAAGGAGGAAAATGTAAGTGATTGTTCAACTTGATTTCGGGCCCAGGGATGGGGGCAGGTTCATGTTCCTACTGCCTTTTCTAGGCCATCTTATGGCTTTTTAACCAAATAAGGCCAAGGCCTGAGAGCCCTCAATAGCAATAAAAGCAGATGGGCCTGACCCAATCTGGGAGGCTGGGTTTCCCTCCTGGGTTGGCTGCCTCTCGGGCTCCCACCTTCCCAGCTGAGCAGGGAAGGCCCTGCAGCTCCCCCGTGCGTCTGCCAGGGGTCCAGAGAGGGCGGCAGCCCTACCCAGACCCATGCCTCCTGTCTGCTACCTCCCCCACCCCAGTCTTCGGCCCAGGCTCAGCCTTGTGTGCCGTCAGCCTCATCAGGAGAATAAGAGGGGTGGGAAGAAGGATGATATGGAAGCGGGGTGGGGCACTGGCCTCAGAGGGCTCAGTTCCTGGGCGTTTGGAGCAAAGGAGGTAGTCAAATGAGGTAACAACCAGTGCACCACAGATGCCTCCAGTCCGAATGGTCAGATGCTGGCTGGAAGGCTGGGGCAAAGGCCTAGGGGGATCTACTGTGCCAGAGGTAAATGGTTTAATTGCTAGATCCTGAGCATGTCCAGGAGGTTCTAGGGGGAGGGGCCAGGCAACTTCAGTAGTAGGGGCATTTGGGGACTCAGCAGCGGCTTCAAACCATACTGGAGGTAAGTGTTTCAATATTTTTACAACTCATATGGCCATACTTAATATCAGCCATGGAAAACTCTGTTCAATCTACCAATTCAGCCCTTCATTAAGTAGTAAAAGCAATAACCAATTCCAGGGAGCCATCATTTGCTCCTCCTCTCCACAAACATTTCTTAAGTACCACGTCAGAGCGTAGGCACTGGGTCACGAAGAGCCCTGTCGCCACAGGCCGCGAGGTACGCCATTCTCCTCCCCAGACCAGGCAAGGAACCCCGAAAGGATGGGGTCCCACCAGCACTCAAGCCACAGTGGGCTCTGCTCCTCCGTCAGAACAGAGCCTGAGTCATTGATGAGCAAAGGATTACAAATCTAGCCTCCTGGAACCCTAGAAGCCCAGCCTAGGAGAAGCAGTTGCCAGGCAACCCCAGGGCCATTCCCAAACACTCCATCTGTTGGCCAGCCCAATTTCGCCGCACCACACTACATAGCATTCTGTGTTCCTCAGGTCCCATCTGCTCCCTCCCATGTGCCTTGGAGCTATATAAAAGTCCACGAGCATCTCAGTGTGAGCCGACAGGGGCCAGGCGGCACATATTTTAGTGCTAGCTGTGTCTAAACATAGAGGCAACAGGCAGGACCCAGTGGGAGGAGGGGGCGGAGAAGGATGGGAGCTTTCTCAGCTTCTTCCCTGCTCCTCCCCGACCCCAGTCAACTGTAACTGCATTCTGCCCAGGCAGGTTGGGTACTTAACAGTACTCTATGAATTGCTGTTGGACTTTCAGGTTGGACAAACGATTTTACAGACAACTTTTGAATAGCTGCTCTGTGGGCTGAGACTGTTGTCCCTCCCTGCCTTCCTTGCCTCTCTGCCCACTCCTTCCCTAACCCAGGGCTACTGACTGTGGCTCCTCAGGCTTTGAAGAAAGCAGTTGAAAGACCAGCATGGTCCTTTTTCAACTCTTATTCGTCTTGCCTTCTCTAAGCGTTTGATAAAGTTATCCACCTCCTCTGTGAGTTTCCGGGACACGAAAGCATCTCCATTGTTCTGTTTTTCTAGTTGCTGCCCCTTCTCATCTCTTAGTGACCCTCCTTCCTTCTCCCAGCCTCAAAAACGTGGACATTCTCCAACTTTCATGTTTCAGCCCTATTCTCTTTTCTCTCTATCCCCATCCCCTCACTCTTGGATTTGTCCATTTCCAGGGTTTCCTGTTAAATTTCTTTGCATGCATCTCCAAACCTGTGTCTTCATTTCTTACTTCTTTCCCAAACTCCACCTCTATATTTCTAACCTTTAAGAGCTGCTTCCCCTTTGGATGTCCTATGTGGCATAAGATCACCCAGAAGGCAGCTTAAATGTCTGCCCAGGGTGCCAACAAAGCAGGGGAATCAAAGAGAGAGGGACAGACGGAGAAGCAGAGAAAGAAATCAAAATAATTTCAAGTGATATATCATCCAATCTTTCATCTTGGAGAAAGCAGAAGTTTGTTGGATTCCCTTATCCATACTTACTGTTAAGCAATGTTTCGATTTTGAATTACTTTTGGGGGACACTATTATCTTTTGGATACTTTGAACTTCTAAATCTCCTGATCCTGCCCTGACCTCACTAATACTTCAGACTCAACAAACATTCATTTGAAAAATAATTTTTGAGTAAGGAGTGTCAAAATAAGAACTAAATATTCGTCTTCTCGAACTCTCTGATCCTTAGGACTTTCCTGTTTCTGTCAGTATTATTGTGGTTTTCACCGTTGTACAAACATGAAACATCGGGCAGGAACCCTAGCTGATAGGATTCTTCCTGGTGCCCCTCCCATCTGCCCCTCCTCTCCATTCCCACTGCCAATACCCCAGTTCAGATCCTTATCACTTTGTATGTTAAAAGTTATCTGGTCCTACCTTCCCATCATAAAACAGCAGAGAATTATATGACCTTAGGATCTCAGCGGGGAGGGCCTTGGAGTCCCGTTGATGCAATCTCTTACAGAATAACTGAGTTATTCTACCACATCCCTCCGAAGGCATCATTATAGTCTCTACTTAAACTTCTGCACTATCATGGCAAACTGTCAAGTGGCTATCCATTAACAGGTTGTGGAATTAGACTAGTAGGTCATGAACCAGAACGTTTGGAAGGGGATGGGGTGGATGGGATGGAATGGAATCAGAAATGTCAGAAGGTGTTCCATGTAGTACTGTTATGTCCTCCTCTCCACCACCACCGCCACCAAGTCTTCTCAGTTCCCTCAAACATCACAGACAAGCCTTCCCAAACCCTGTCTCATGTAGTAGGTATGTCTCCTTGGAACATGGCCCCTCTTAAGCTGGTGCCCAGACCTGCCTGTGCACTCCAGTTTGGTCTGAGCAGCACAGAACAGAAACAGCTCCACTTTCTCACTGTGGAACTTTATACCTAGTAATACAGTCAAGATGAACATGACCTTTTCCTGAAGCCAGTGACTCACGTTGCTGACTCACATCAGGTAGCTGTCCAGCTCTGCCCCCTGCCAGGCAGGCCACACCGTCTTTGCACAGACTTTCTTGCGCTGGCATTTAATGGGCTTCACTTTTCACTTACCGGTGTTACAGAAGGAGCCTAAGAGAGCCCGGTAGACTAAGTGGAATCCCTTCTCGCGTAGTCTGCTCAGCTCCAGGCCTGTAGACCACTCTGACTCGTGCATGTATCACACGGCCAAAGGTCAACAGAACAAGTCCTGGGCACCCCAGGCCACCTGTCTGTCACTGGCCTGGACCTGTTCTCATTTCTCCTGCTCTGGCCTCATTTTCCACCACATTCTGGTGTCTCCCTGACCTCTAACCCCTTTGATTCAGTCTCCCCCTCTGTCCCGTCCCCCAACGCTTGGATCATGTGACCAGATAGGCCCTCCAGTTGGACTTTCAACACTCCCAGAGGGACAGGGCGCGTGTCTGCCCTCTGGTTATTCCTGTGCTGGCCACTCTGAGACGAGCTCCAGCCTTCATATCCTAGGCCCAGTCAGGGCTCCCTTGAAGCAGAGGGGAGGGGAGAATTAATTATCAACCCCTCTCTCCTTGAGTCTTGCCTGTAAAGGCCATACATCTCCAGATCTTGCAGCCATTCCTCCGTAATCACTGGGCTTACTGGCCACACTATTCTTCGATGCCTTACTGCCACCCCATAGCTTCTCAATGCTCTCTGCCTGACTGGGTTGTAAGCCCCTTTATTTCCTCCTCTCATCCTAGAACCTAGAACAGTGCTCTGAACACATGGCGCTCAACAAATGTGGGTCAGTTATTTATAGAATGCTCCCAGCTTGCTCTTGTCTGATGGTGAATGCTCAGGGGATGCTAAATAACTTGAACGGGAGACAAGCCTAGCTAGCCATGCTGACATGCCACTGAAAGCCCTCTTTTGCCTTGCGCGGTTGCGTTCTGGTTAGGAAGGCCTGGGATGTCAAGCCGCAGCTCTGCACTCACAACTTGCTCTCTACCTGGAACAGGTCCCTTCCCCACTCTGAGCCTCAGTTGCTCCTCGTTTGTAAAGCGGGGGCTTTCAGGGGTTGCAAACTCAGAGCAGGAACACGATGGTGTGGATGGGATCAGGCCTGAGATGAGAGGAGGTGGCAAGGACAGAACCGAAGGGAGCACGCCCCTCCTGAAAGCGTTCAGATTCTTCTCTCCTCCCATTTTTCCTCCTCCTCCTTTGCTAATACCATTCAGGCCCAAAATAAAGCAGACTAAAACAAAACAAAATATCTCCTGGATGGGTTCCGCTCACAGACAGTCAGTTCTCAACCCCTGGAATTGATCTCCAATGACCTCTTATCCAACATTCTGCTCCTTTTTCTTTTTCTCATTTTATTCCCCAATTTTCCCTTCTACTCCACTGACCACATCTTGTGAAAGAGTTGACAGCCCTGGGCCATTTGGCATTTCCTGATCAGTGTCTTATTAACTGGTTCTTGCTTCATTATCAAGTTTTACATTTTCCTCTTACCTTGCTTTTCCTGCTTCTCCTTTGCCTCGTCCTTCTTCCTTCTTGATTAATCCACCACTTGCAACTGAAAAGACTTGGATTCTTGACTGGGCTTGTGTGAAAACTGATTGTGAAATAGATAAGTGAGTAGGGAATGAAGAGGATGTTTCACGAGAAAAAACATGACCCAAATATATGAAGCCAACCTGATGATGGTAAGACACATAGTTCAAAGGAGGTGGGGGCGGGGGGATGGAGGAGGGGAGGGGAGATACTCAAATGTGTTGATAATCGTAACACTTTTTAGAAAAGATAAAATGCTATAATGTGAATCTCTTGCCAGATACATTACAAAGGAAAGAAAATAGATCATTCTGATGATTAAGGAGTTGTGCAGTTGCTAGGGTGAAAACAAAAGCATAGAACTCTGACTAGAACATACTAGAATCCTTTTTAGGGCTTTCATTGTGTATTCCTTGCCAATGCTGATAGGTAAAACCCTCTGGAGAATGAATGAAATTATGTTTATACAGTTCTTTCTATCTGAGTGTAGAAAAATCATGTTAAATAAATGTAGAAGACAGGATTGTTAGTTCTTATCTTTCCTAAGCAACGTTCGATGCTGCCAGATAACCTCTCCCTGTGGTTTCTTTTCTTTCTTAGAAAGAGCCTTTCCTGAGAACCCTCCGGAACAGCAACTACACATACCCCACCAAGCCAGCCATTGAGGTACCTAACCCCTGACACACATCTGCCTCTCTCAGGGACAAACCATTTCCGCCTGCAGTGACTTGGGGTGTGGTGCAGGTTTCAGAGTGTTAGCTTAAGCAGAAATGTACCCTTCTTACATACTGGAAATTGGAATGTAAAAAAAAAAGTGTCTCCTGAACCACAAAGTCACAGGATTGTCCTAACATGTCCTCAAGTGCTTAGCTGACATCAGCAACCAACAAAAGGAAGTGCCATGGATCAGCTTTCTCTGCCCTTTGAAGAAACATCATTTCTGATTAGGCAGCTCAGCCTTTCACGAAGGAATGAAGGGAGGTAGTAGGCATGATGTGCCATTGACTTCCTGTAAGGTGGGAGCTGAGTGGAAAAAAATCTCAGTTCCAGGGGCTGGGCCCAACAGGAAGCTGACTCATACCCAGGTGGGTCCTCAGGGCTTATTTGATTCAAGTCAACCATACTGGCCCCGAGGAGCCCAAAAGGATTCAAGACCCATGGCTTTAAGAACTGCTGTTCCAAAGATGGACTGGAGGGTCTTGGACCTCACCAGGCCTTGCAGGACCAGGCCCATTAGTTACCAGGACAGGAGCTCAGCCGCTGGGATAGGGGTTCAACCATCAGGACAGAGGCCCAACCACCAGTTCCAATAGTTCAACTATGGTATGTCCAGTCTTATGTTAGGGGCCAGAGGGAATTCAGAGAAGTATCAGATGTGGTCCTGCCCATGGGAGATTAGAGGTCATTCCATGTCGAGCACGTACTATGTGTCAGGTACTGTTCCAGGAAGATGGAGCAGAAGATTGGACAGATGGGTCCCATCTTCATGGAGCCTACAGCCTACTGTATGGGCATTCAATAAATAGCTAAACACAATCATTTCAGAGAGTGTTAACAGCTCTGAGGAAGCTGACATGTGATGGGGCGCTGGAGGAATGGCAAGTTCCGGTGGCTGGGCAGGCCAGGCCAGTCCTCTCTGAGGAGGAAGGATTTGAGTCGGGACACACATGATGAAAAGACACCAGCTATCTGGAGAGGCAGGGTCCCAGGCAGGACCGTGGAACACAGAGGTTCAGAAGCAGGGCTGAGTTAGGTGTATTTGAGGAAGAGGAAGAAGGTCAGAGTGGCTGTGGGCATGTGAATGAGGTAGAGAGAGGGGTGAGGAGACCAGAGGGGTTGTCAAGTTGTCACACAGAATCTGAATCCCTCAGTGGGAAGGTCGACTTCAGGTGGAGAGGTGTGGGAAGCCTTTGGAGATTCTAGGAGACAGTGCCATAATGTGGTTCACCTTTGTAAAAGATCTGATTAGTGTGGGTTGAGGAGCAGCAGGAGTGATGGAGGAAGGACCTTTTACGAGCCAGCTGAAGTGTTGAGACTAACCTATAGGAAATTATTAAAGAACTATTAGATTCTAAGTTCCGGGGTCCCAGCCCTGACAGCTTCATGGCTGGGCAGCCTCTCTGGATTCTCTCAGGCTCATAATAGCCCAAGGGAGGCTTGTCCCAGGCAAACCATTGACCAAAAGTCATTATAATTGAAATATCAGCTACATCTTGTCAATCAGACATTTATTTATTTATTTAACACTTATTCATTTGGATGCCTAAATGGAGTAGGCTCTGTGCTAAGTGCTGGATATACAAGATGAGCCGAGTGGGTTGGGCCTGCCCTCTTGGACCTTGTAGTCTCATGTATCTTTGCTTCTGCTGCCAGAAGAATTAGAAATCCAGGCCTAGGATGTGCTGTTGCTTATTTAATACCTTGCCTTTTAAAATAGCCACAGGCAGGCAACATCCACATTACCTGGGAATCTGTTAGAAATGCAGAATCTCGGACACCATCCTGGTCCTACTGGAAATCAGAACCTGCATTTAACAAGACCCCGAGGGCATTGGGGTGCACTGGTGTCGGATGCAGCATGTGGTTCTTCCCCGTGACCACAAGCATGCTCACGTTCCAACCTGTGTCTGTTCATCTACATGGAACCTGCTTGTCTCTGGCTCACCAGCTATCTCAGAATTCTAAAGAGCTCAGGGCTACTTTTTTTTTTAATTGCATTTTCCCCGATATTGGTCATCGGCACACAAGCATGTTCTTAATTTCAACAAAACATCCGCAGAGAAGAAGGAATCCATCGGTGTGATGAATTGAGTGATCCCTTGGAATAAACTAAATTATATCAGTTTAAGCAAATAATATTCAAAAGCAGTTTCATTTTGCTCCCTCGAGAGAGAGGTGTTTTAACAAGACTTGTCTTCATCATCATCTGACCAAAACAGAAGATATGAGCTTCCAAAGCTTCTGACAATCACATCCCCCACAATCACATCCCCCAAACAGTCGACGCCCGTTTGTGGAGCCCTACTGTGCACTCAGCACTGGGCTAGTCCCTTGAGCCCTCCTGGGGATGTGCAGGTATTTGAGACTCTGAGGGAAAGACTATTTCTCCCCCAACTTGCTGGTACTGGTCATTTCTGTGCCCTCTGCTTCCCACCCCATCCCTTCCTCCAGCACCTAGAAAAGGTGCTCTGTATTCTAGAGACAAGGGAATTTGACTAAAGGTATCTAGGTTATCGGCATTATTTTACACACACACATGAGGAAGTGATTGGCTATTCAATTAAATGTGCAAAAGAATATACATATGTACAGAAAAGATATGCAGAAACCAGTAACTTTGCAATTGTGAAAATGTCATGTTCTTTTCCTAAAAATATTCTAATTATTGTTTCGGTCCTAGCACTGTAATTAGAGTCCATTAGCTTAATGTTCAACACCACCACCAAAACCCATCTGTAATCTCTTATTAGGCATCCGCGTCTGTGTTCCTCTGGGAGACCACTCATAGTATGAGTACACAGTTTCTCCCCTGCTTTGGTAGGACTGCTGGCTCCTTTAAGAGTGTAGATGAGATGAGAAACACTGTGTGAGTGCGTACGTGTGTGCCCACACATTGTCTGTTTTGTGCCTAGGGGTAGGCAGACTCCATTTTCTCCTCTCTCCTTTCCTTTGCAGTCCACCTATAACTAACAGTTCTTACCCTCACATGATCCCCTACAGTGACATAGTTCTAGCCTCTATTGAAAATTCCTTAGCTGGTTCTTCTCGGGCTGCACGATCAGTGTTAGGCATTGTGTCTTTCCTCTTGTTGATTTAGAACTGGGGCAGTGACTTCCTGTGTATGGAGTGGAATCTTTCCAACAGTGTTCCCACCTCGGGTAAGCGAAAACATCATTTCCCCCTTCAATTAAGGGCCTTGCTAAGTGTCCAGGTGGTGGGAGACCCTGTAAACATGCCTCGGAGGCTTGAGCAGGACTCACTCATTGCCATGCAATGCAGACCTAGATCTGGGGCAGCCCACGGAAAGCTGGCCTACAGTCACTGCTGAGCTCCCAGGCCTCTCCACAAATCACACTTCTCATCTCCACTTAGTCCCAGTGGCAGCCCCCTCAGGTCTCCTTTCCCAGAGAAGTCAGGGATTGGGGTCCTCTCTGCCTGTGCGTGCGACCCCTGCGGCTGGAACTTATATGGACCCCGCCAGCGTGAACTGCGCTCCTCTCGGGATGGACAATAGACATCAAGCCCATCCATTACTTTCAGTGCCTTGGTTGCTCTGAATGCATGGAAAAGGCAAATGTGCTAAAGCCTTAGGATGGAAATAAGGATAATGGGGACCTGTGGGACTAGAGCAGAATCTCGGACTCCTAGTCAAGTTTATACTTTAAAAGAAAGACCTCCCCCTGACCATCCATCTTTTCGCTTGTCTGTCCTAGTCCATGAGCTCCGACCAGCAGACATCAAAGTGGTCGCCGCCCTGGGCGACTCACTGACTGTGAGTATTGAGCTGCGCCGGGCACGGGCACCAGCCAAGCCCTGTGCAGAATCAACTCTTCTTCCGTACTGGCTCTGCCTTCAGCATTTAACTGACACTATTGAGAATGTACCTGTATCAGGCACTGAAACGCAGCCAGGCGCCATAAGACATCACCAGGCAATCTAGAAAGCCCAGTTCTGCCCTTCCACAGTCTCACTCAAGCACCACCTCTTCCATGAGACCTCCCCTTCATCTCCAGGTAGAGACCATGCACCAACCTCCCGGCCAGGTGTTTCACCTGGGGGTGATGGTACTCAGCGAGTCTGCCTCGCCTTTATCAGGGACCTCGTCTCCGTCTACATGACTCATAGAGTGGGTGGGTCTTACCCACACATTGCCCAGTGTCCCTTCATGCTGTTTAAAGATGTGTCCTTTGGGGCAGAAGGAGCCCAGTTCCTGCACACAGAGCAATTTCACTAAATCACATCAGCCAACTATTTAGCTACCGTGTGCGAGACACACTGCACGCAGTTCTGAGGGAAAAGAAGTATGAGACATAGTCATGACCCTCAAGAAACTTGTCCAGCTGGGAAAACGAGAAAGTTACACCGGAGAGCTACATAGTCTGACATACAGGACTTTTAAAATCAGGTATTCGTTTCTGTAAAAACAAACAACTTCCGCATTTGCGTTTTAATTTCGCTATGAACATGGAGAAAGTTGTGGAAGGCTATACAGAGGACTCCTCACCATTAATTAGCTCTGGCGGGGAGGATTCATGGGTAAGGGGCGAGGAGACCCTGCAGCAGGGGACAAAGTTATTAAGGTCGGGGTAGATTATTAATATTTTGAGAATCTTTATCATTTCACTAGTTATGGTGAATACATATCATTTTGTAAGTTTCACAGAGGAATTTTTTTTTTTTTTTTAAGACAGTTATATTTAGAGAAAGCTTTATGGAGGAAATGGAAACCGACAAAGGTCTTAGAGACTGAATTCAAGAGTTCAGGGCTGGACGGGAGGGACTTGAGCATTTTGAACACTGCTGTGTTCGGCTCTCCTGAAAGGGCTGGAGCAGGTGGCCCCGGAGCAGGTGGGTCCGAGGCTCGCAGACTTCAGATCAATTTGCTTAGACCTGAAGGTTCCCGTGGACAGGAAAGGAGGGTGGTGAACAAGGGAAGGAGAGTGGAAACCAGAGGGTGGGGAGGTCAGAACGTTGGTGAAGGGGGTGGGCTTTGGCACTGTGGGTGAGGGACACCCACCACAAGGTCAGAGTCAGGAGGTATGAGGTTTGCGGAGAAGAGCAGGTGGACAGCCTGGTGAGAAGGGAAGAGACGTGGAGGCCAGAGAGTTGTGCGTGGCAAGGAGTGGAGAGTCTCACCTTGGAATACGGCAAGGAGAGAAAGAAATGGGAGCTAGAGAGACTGGGGATGGAGAATCTCAGCTCTTCCAGGACTTGGTTTCTGCCTGCGTGTAGAGGATTGGGGAGTCAGAATGACTCAGAGAAAAACGGGTACCACCTTCAGAAAAGGTAAATCCAGGCTGCTACACAGGGCAAGTAGGGCCTCTCCCAGTGCCCGTGGCCTGCACCTGGGCCCGGCCACGTCTGCAACCTCCTCGTTGCTTTTCACAGACGGCGGCGGGAGCCCTCCCAGGCAACTCCAGTGACGGGCTCGTATCCTGGCGGGGACTGTCCTGGAGGTGAGGATGCTCTGCACTTATTCTCTATTGATAATGTTCCCCCAAAGAGCATGTGTGGTGTGTTTCCTTGCCACCTCTCCAGAGACGACGCCAGGTTCCGTGGCCCAGTGCCGAACTGCAAGGAGCCCCCTGACCCTTGTGTTAGTCCTAAGGGTGATGGGAATCATGCGCCGGGGGCAGACGCTCTGGTTCTGACTCGGAAACATGGTAACATGTGGAGCAGCAGGTTGGGGGGATTTTGACAAATATGTTTCTCTTCCCCAGCGTTGGAGGGGATGGCGCCTTAGAGACCCACACCACGCTGGCCAGTAAGTAGCAACACAGAGAAGCACCGTCACTATGACCCTGCCAACCCCTCACTGAAGCCAGGGCCTCCCCGCCGAGCAAAGGCAGAGAAGATTATCTGCAGGGAGGGAAGTCAGCCACCCCTGAAAACACCCAGAACTGTCCTGCCCCCAACCTGCACCCCAACGCTGCACACCCATCTCCCTCTCACCTGTGCTGTCTGCTTCCTCCCTCTTAAAAGATATTCTGAAGAAGTTCAACCCTAACATCCTCGGGTTCTCCACCGGTACACAGGAGGAGACGGCAGGACTGAATGTCGCAGTGGAAGGGGCCAGAGCTCGGTGAGGAGCCGTGGGTATAGGAGGGGAGGACAGGAGGGTGGTGTCTGGGAGTCCCGCCCAGATGGGCACTCGTAGCTGCTATGCATGGAGCACTTCTGTGTGCTTGGCCCTGAGCTGACCTCTCATGTGATTATCTCATGTAATCCTCATACCCTTCAAGATGAGCACCAGCATGAGGCTTAGAAAGTTTCCTGAAAGGTCCAAAGTTATCCAAGGAGCCAGGATCAGACCAGATGGAATTGACTTTCCTTCTGCCCACTGTGCTGTTACCGCCCCTCAGGGCAGCAGGAGGAAGCGCACACTTGGGGTGGGTCGTCAGGAAGCAGCCGCACCCCCTTGGGGAGCTGGCCTGCTGACTCCAGCTGATCTCCCGGCCCAGCGGAGGTTCAGGTCAAATGTTCAGGGCACTTCTCGGCATCTCAGGAACTCAGTGTGTGACCTGGTGGCCGGTGGCCCTTCCTCTCTCTCCCCTCTCCTTGGAACCTCCAGTCCCAGCCGAAAGAGCTGTTATTTTGACATTAGGGAGTTAGATGTTTGAGTCCTCTGAAACAGCATGACAGTTGTTTGTTTTCACTCAGATTTCTATTGTTGACAACAACCCAGATAATTAAAGATGAAATGCCTGACAGAGTTCGTTGATATTCTGCACAGAGCGTGCTAGGTACATGCTTTATAGCAGGATCGCTGGACTCAGGTCACCAAGGAAACGACACTGGCTTGACTCATTGTGTATCCAGGGAGCATTCCTTTCAGACGTAGTAAAGAGGGCCCCAGCTCATTTTGAGGCTCTGAGACACAGGAAGTGATGTCAGTTCCTCAATGTCATAAGCAGGAAAACCTTATTTTTTTCTGCAGAAAACTGGGCTTCATGGAGCCATAATGAAGCTATTACTAACTGCTATTACTACCATTACTATTATTATTATTATCATCATCATTATCATCATTTATTATTCTACAGCCCAGGCTTCATTAACCAGGTGGTGATTCCTTAGTCTGTTGACATTCAAGCCCCTTTTTCCTTTCACTTTTACTGACTTTCCTGTTTCATGGCTGCTCAGTGCCTCCACCAGAACAAATCAGTGTCAGGGAAAGAAGTGACACATAGCTTCTTGTTAGTATCTTGTGTCCCTCCCATGTTAGGAGAAAGGCAAGTAAGCCATAAAGTAAGCAAGGTTGGAGAATTTTTCTGTCTCTCCTTTATTTGCACTCTGTCATTTAGTATGGTGTGGATAAGGATGAGTTAACGTAAGAGAAAGATGAATGCCACAGCATAGCAACTAAGATAATGGGCCCTGGGGTCAGACCATCTGTGTCTAGATCCAACCTCCCAGACTTGCTAGCTGTGTGACCTGGGGCAAGTCACTTAGCGTCTCTGAGTCTTAGTTTCATCATCTATAAATGGGGATAATAGTACCTACTTCTCTGGGTTGTTATAAGGTTTAAATGAGATAATCATGGAAAACACAAAGTATATAATATGTATGCCCCCAAAAATCGCCATTATTAGGATATTAGTTTCAAAGTTTCATTCCACATCTAACTTCCCTTCCAACGTTCAATAAGCAAAAATTCATTGAATACCTTCCAAGGGCTGAGCCCAGAGGTGGTTACTAAGAAGATAGAAAAGAATCAAATGGTAAAATCTCTGCCTATATAGTTTGCTGTCTAGTTGAGACTAAACAAAAACTTTAGGGGTGAAAAGTGTTATATATGGCAACACTGCAGACTGACATGATTTTGTACTTTGGAGTATAACCAACAGAAAGGTGTAGAGTGTGGACTGGGCAATCCAAATATAAATGCGGACCTGGAAGGGACCCCAGAAATATCTAGTTCAACCTCTTCATTTAAAAGATAAAAAAAAAGTCCAACCCTAGCAGGATTCAGTAACTCGGGCAGGCTCGCACAGCAAGTTTGTAGCAGATCTAAAAGGAGAACCCCGGTCCCATAACTCCCAGAGCAGAGCCCTTGGCACCGGGATAGAAAAGGAAATGGAAGAGGCGTGTGGATAAATGAGCTCAGAGAGAAGGCTCCCGGGAGGTAAGATTTGCTTTGAGCCTGAGGATAGGAAGAATATGGCTGGGAAGGGAGGAGGAAGTGGGCATGCCTGGTTTTCCCCTAGCACTTATTACCCATGAATTCCCCTAGTCCTGTCTTGAAACTGTTAAGAAGTTATAGGCACTTCTGTGGTCACCTTTAACCAGGACAGGCTTTCTTGATAGCTTTCTGGTGTATCCATCAATAGCAATAGTGTGTGGGCTGTCACCTGGATGTGTTAATGAGAAACAAGGGCAGGGATGGTGCCACGTGTGCTTGGCCACGTGCTCAGCCCATCGTGGCGTGCGGAGATTTAAAACGGCCATCCTGTACCAGTGACTGCTTCTATGATTTCTTCCAAGGAAGCTTCTATTGGCAGTATCCCTTTGTTGACATAGCTTCTCATATACACATCTTTAAAAAAGCTCTAATGGACATGCGTTACACTGTACACTTAAAAGTATACCACTTGATAAGCTTTACATACGCATATACCAGTGAAATTATTACTGCAGTCAGGTGATAAACACACCCACCTGCCCTGTCTCTACCCGCCCCCTCCAGGTAACCTTGGACCTGCTTTCTGTCACTATGGATCTTAATTTTTTAGAATTTTACATAAATGGAATGACAGACTATGTTCTTCTTTCTTGTCTAAACTCTTTCACCTAGCACACTTATTTTGAAATGAATCCATGTTGTCGAGTGTCTCATAATCCATTTCTTTTTATTACTGAGTAGTATTCCACAGACGTACAGATCTCATGCAGAAGCATTCATTTCTCTGCTCATGGCTGACATCCAGGAGATAAAAGAACTAATCCTGTCTGTTTCTGTTCCCCCTCACCCCCTGTCCCGTATCGTTCGTGGAGGGTGATAGAGAATAGTGCGGACATCTAAAGTAATTACAGAGGAGAAATACAAAGGAATAAAGGAACAGAGAGGAGGACTCAGAAGTAAAGATTAAAGTTGTGACGCCTGGAAAGGAGAAAGCTGAGGGATAATTTAGGGCTATGACATTTTTTCAAATATACAAAAGGTTATTTTTAAAACAGGCAGCCACATAAGAAGTGAACAGGCTCAGCTTGCAGTGAGAGAGCTGGATGAAATACGAGAGAACATCCCTGATGGAGGGTTGAGCAGATCCCACCCCAAGTGGCCTAGGAGGTTGGGGTCTGCCAAAAAGAGATGGTGGGGTGCAGATTAGCCCCTGGCAGGGTCTGGATCCATGTGGCTCCAGGTCCATGGCAGGTCTTTATCACTAGGTGGACACTTTGTGAGAATCAAGCCTTTCGATACGTTCTGAAGGAATAAACTTTACAAAGCGTTTGTTTTCTTGAAACACATCCTGGCCAGGCCAAAGTCCTATAACTTCAGCACTTGCTCTTGAGCCAGCTCTAAGGTCCAACTGCTCTTCCCCTGCCTAGGGACATGCCAGCTCAGGCCCGGGACCTGGTGGAGCGAATGAAAAGCAGCCCTGTGAGTATGGGACCCTGGGCTACCCTAAAAAGCGCCAGGTTTCCAGCTGGGGTGGGTGCAGCAGCCCTAAAAGAGCCCCCTCTGCACCACTGCAGCTCCTGCTCTCGGCTTGTCTTTGAGGGGCCAAATGAGCTACGACGGCAGGCCTGACCACAAAGGCACCATATTTGCTGCCCCTGCAACCCCCAGCTCTGTCACTCCCACCCCTAGGGCCGGCTGCAGGAGGGAGAGATTGAGCAGAGACTTGTTGATCTCTGGCAGCTTCCCTCTTTCCCCAGAGTTGGCTTAGCAGAGCCCTATTATGCAAATGCTGGGTTCTAAAAATAGGCTTCTCATTCCAGTCCTTCCGACCTTCCCTTTCTCCCGGCCCCTCTAAATCTTCTAACTGGTCCTTTTTTAATGCTATGTTTGTGCCTTGGAATTCAGCTCCTGGCAGGACTCCTATTATGGTGGTGGCTGAGTGGAAAGCAGGCTCCCCCGAGGGCCCCCCAGCCTCCACCCTACCTCTCGGTCCACGCCGGGCTCCCTGTCCTGTCCTCCCCCACTCCCCGCTCCCGCCCCAGTCCCAGATGTGAAGAGCTCTCCTAAGAGGCAGCTCTGGGCTTTTGCTTCTAGCTGCATCTTTTGCCCTCAGCTCCTTTGAAGGCCTTCGGATCACATTTCAGCGGTGTGTTAATATGCCCTACTTCACCTGGGGCTGCAGCCTTCTGAAGAGGTTTTCAAAGGGAAAATAGTCCTCTGCACTGTGTGAGCAGACACACACGCACATGCACACACGCGCATGCACATGCACACACGCACACACGCACACACGCGCACTCTCCTCTCCGCTCCCCCCGCAACCCGATCTTCCTGCCCCAGCACCAAGGTGAGGGAGGCTCCACTTGGCATTGCCTCTCCATCGTGATAGAGGGTGAAAGGCACTTGGCGGGCTGTCTAGCCTGGTGAGCACCACCTGCATGTGCCCCCCACCAGACCCTAAACTCAGGATCTTCCGTCCCCTCAGGAAATCAACCTGGAGAAAGACTGGAAGCTGATCACACTCTTCATTGGGAGGAACGACTTGTGTCATTACTGCGAGAACCCGGTAGGCCCCCGACCAGTCCCATTGGGAACCTGATGACGGAGCTGCTGACTAGTGTCGTTATCCATGCCCAGGGCCCCGAGCTCCCTCGTGCTCTCCCAGGCAGCCCCTGGCTCACACATGCCTCATGAGGTCTGGCCTTCCCCACTGCTGAGGCGTCCCTTGGAGAGCAGAGGCTTTGGTTCCCCAATTCCAAAAGCATCTAGACATACCCACTCTTCAGGCACTTGCTGATGGATGGGGAGGCCTCTCAAATGCACACAAAGAGTGTTCTCTGGTATCCAGTGGGCAACTCATACACCCCACCCACCCCTGCTTGCCGTCCCTGCCCTGTTTCTTGGTGTGTTTTTTTTTGGCGGGGGGGGGGTGCAGAGGGAGGCTGAAACGACGTCATAAACGGGGTTGGAGAAAACTGAACCCGTCGCAGTGGGGTGGCTTGCTGCCTTTCAGGGACATCACAAGTTCATCAGCCCTCGCCACTGGCCTGGGAGCCCAACCTCGTTTCTAACGTTCTTTCTGTGGGGAACTATGTCCAGACTTACAAACTTTTGGAAGTTATAACTTTTGGAACACATCTTGTTCTAAGCTGAGGACATCCTGTATTTTATTTGGCCAGAAAAAGGCAGCTGCCATAACTCAGGGGTCATGGCGGAATGTTTGGCGGTCACAGGCGGTGGGGGAGAAGCATTGATCATTCCCTGTGGCTCAGAGATGACCACTGAGGGACAAATGAGCATTCCTCCCCCCACATGGGAATTCACGCTTCCAGGCCATTTCCCGTCTATTCTCCCCCTTAACTGTCCAGACTCAAGAGGCAGAAGCAAACCAGCCCCATGAGAGTTTAAATGTCATCGTGTGTGTCCTAGACTCAGCCGAGTCCAGGAAGCCAGACGTGAACCCAGAGCCACCTGTGGCCAGTGCCTCTACAAGCCCCAGAATGCCAGTCCCTGTGGGAACAGTTTACATTCCTGAGAGCATTTTTGTGAAAAGGACCTGAGGGCCACCACTCAGGACTAAGCAGGAAGGGGCTAAATCAGCCTCCATTTGGGAGATGGGTCAGAGGAGGAGACCCTCGAGCTGAGTCACACGGGGATAGTAGGAGTTAGCGGGAGGCAGTGGGGTCAGCATGGCCAAAGCCCAGAGGAACGAGAGCATGTCCATCAGAGGTCCCGCTGTGATTGGAGAAGGTTGAGGCTAGTGGCAGATAGGACTGGAAAAGTGGCAGACACCAGACCAGCACTGCCAGGGTCTGCCTCAGGGTTGGGGATATGGAGCAGGGTGGGGTGGGGGTTTTGGATGTCTAGCAGGGGTCAAGGGATGATTTCTTACAAGAGACTCTTCAAAAGCTACACGGGCTGGGCAACAGACCACTTGCCTTCTCCCTTCACAGGAGGCCCACTTAGCTGGGGAGTATGTTCAGCACATCCAGCAGGCCCTGGACATCCTCTACAAGGAGGTAGGAAAGAGCAGAGGCACAAGCCTGGGTCCCATCTCCTGCCAGCAACTTGCCTGTCTGCTCCCTCCCTGTGCTGCTCTCAGGGTGCATCTAGGCAAGTTGTGTTCAGGGAGATACACACTGAGCAGATCCCCACAGGGAGCAGCACCAGGATGGGAAAGGGGTGGGGGCAGCTCGCTGCCAAGCTCCTCTGAGGGGGAAATTCTTACTGAATCTGACTGTTGAGCGGCGAAGAGCTGGCCTCTAGAGCCGGCTGGCGTATTTGTAGCGAAGCACTGCAGCTTACTAGCGATGTGACGCCAAGCGAGTGACTTGTGTCTCAGTTTCCCAATCTAGAAAGTGAGCCCGATAAAGCAGTTTCAGTGAGATAAAACAGTTCTGCCCCGTTCTGGGCCTCAGTTTATTAGGAGAATTTGGGAGGGGGAGGTTGAGTTGTAGATGATCCCCTCAGCTCCTTCCAGCAGTAACTAGTGGCCCTCCCACAACTCCCTGGGGACTAATGAAGCCCACCCCTCTGCTCCCCACAGCTCCCGAGAGCTTTCATCAACATGGTGGTGGTCATGGAGCTGACTAGCCTGCACCAGGGCCAAGGCGGGAAATGTAGCATGCCGCTGGCAGCTGGGTAAGTACACAGTCATGGTCCCAGGATTAGGGCACCCGGGGAGAGCAGGGCTCACAGACGCCAACAAGGTGACAGTCCTATGCAGAGGGCAACATCGGCGTTTAGCCAGGGGATTGGAAAACCATTTCTAAAGGCCTCTGCGTTTCTGAATGCCCACTCTATGCAAGCCATGTCGTTTCTCTGGACCCCAGTTGGCTTTTCTATAAAGTGAGACAGACAGACTAAATGATTCTTAAGGCCCCCTGACACTGTCATTGATTCCAAACTCCAACTCAAGCGAGTTGTCCCATATTTGGGAGGCGGCACAGGACAATGAGCTTTCAAGACAGCTGTATCTGGCCTCGAATCCTGGCTCTGCCATTTAGGAGCTGTGGGACCTTGCGCAAACTGCATAAACCTCTCTGGGCCTTTTACGCCTCGCCTGGAACATCTCCTTGCAAAGTAGACGTGGGTTCTAGAGAAATGCATATAAAGTCCTGTCCCCGTGGGACAGGCACTAAGGAAATAGTGGCTTTTATAATATCCGTGATGAGACTGTCCTCGAAAGCCAGGCTTGGAGCTAAGGTAATTTATTTAAAGCTCAGCTACAACCCTGGCAGGAAGTTGCCATCTTCCAAGGCCAGAAGGTCACTCAGTTTTGCTATGGGGGAGGAGATTCTGTACGGGGTTGAGGGGATCTATCCAGAGTCAAATGGACTTACTGAGAAAGTTACCAGCTGGCTTCCATTCTTGCTAGGAACCTGGCCCCTGAGTGGATCGGCCATTGGCTGGGGGTATGACAAGCTCTTCCAGGATCTGCTGGCCTTGCATTCCACCTTGTCAGGGCATCTCAAGCTGGTTGACCCTTGGCGGTCTTCCCCTAACTCCAGCCTCATCCCTACCTGGTTAGTCCCTGTAGTAACCACAGGAGCCACAGACTTGGGACGGAGCAGGCAGGCAGAATTGGCAGCCTGTCCACAAGGAGACTCAGGCGTCGAGAGCCAACTTTTCCACTTTCTCTCTCAGCAAGCACCTCCTGGATCTCGTGACCCTGAGTTTCTCCACAAGTCAGCAAGACCATTATGGGGGACCTGTGTCTCACCACCTTCCCACGGGAGACAGCACAGGGTCCAGGCCCTTGTGGGTAGCAGCTTCCTCTGTGTGGGAGTCAGCCTCCCCAAGGCTGCAGAGACAGGCTGCCCCCAGTGAGCTTTTTCATAGGACACTTTGTCTTACAGGAACAACTGCACTTGCCTCACACGTTCCCAGGAGAACTCTCTTGAGATTCAAGAACTGAAGAAAGTGAACTGGAACTTCCAGGTGAACCTGCCACCACAGTCGCCCCGCTTACTGCCCCAAGTGAGGGGCCCCTTTATTCCAGAGTCAAGGGATCTTCTGAGAGCAAGGCTACTCCCTAAAGGCAGATCACAGCCCCTGAAATATTTATCTGGGCAAATTGAGCGCCAAGGTTGGGGAGGGGAGTGAGAAGTCTCGGAAGGGAAGCTGGGAAAGCCTCAGCCTCAGGTCAAGAGCACTCAGCTCCCAGAGTAGATGGCCTAGTCCCCCACCCAGAGGACGGAGGGGTGATGTTCGCTGCCTGTTGGCCCCTCTCCCTCTTTAAGAACATAAAGCTTAGCCCAACCCTACTTACTGTCCCCTCCCGTGACATGCACACCCTGAGCCTTTCTGCAAATTATTCATCTCACCAACGAGGTATGTCTTCTTACCTCTTCTAAGCCACTTCCCCTGACCAAACTTCACCCTCAGCTGTCTCCCCCCATGAACTTGAGTCTGCCCCTCACTGACCCTAAAGCCCTCCATGGTTCACATGTGGTTTTTTACATCTTATTTTCCCAGATGGATATTAAGCTCCTTGGGGATAAGCTCATCTAGTCTATCCCTTTTAGAGTCCACATACTGGCACTTAAGAAGGCCAAAGACTATGAATGCTCATCCCTCAAGATCACGGGCATTTGAGGAGCTGATGTTGAAATGTTCCCCCTTTGAGTTGGAGCTGAACTGAATTAGAACCGTCTCCTAATGCACCTCTCCATGCAATGAGAACAGGGGAGGCCTTTGGCCCAAGCAGTCTGGTCAACAGCTCAGACCCGGCCTTACAGACACTTTGGAGTGGAAGTGGGTGGTGCTCCTGCATGAGTGCTGCACACTAGAGCAGCCCCTTTAAGTCACCCTTCTCTAGGGTGGGTTGGCCCCCATCACTACCAACCCAAGGCAGCAGGACTAGAACCTGTCTGTCTAGTTTTGCCAGGAGGGTTGAACCGCCTCTCTCCCCGGTCCCAGAGTGACATCTCCAGGTACTCCTACTGGCACCAGTACCTGCAGCGCAAGGACTTCACAGTGGTCGTGCAGCCTTTCTTCCAAAACACTCTTGTCCCCCTGAACGAGGTAAGCGGCGGGCATTTCTGGGAGGCACACGTGCAGAGCCGTACCTTAGGCCCGTCCTTCTCTATGTGGGCAGTTTTCTGACCCTCTCTCTTCAGGAGGGGTTGCTTTTTCCGCTTTTCCTCTTCCCCGCCGCTTTTTCGGAGTGTGATTAGAACCTAGATGTACTTGGAAAGAGAAAATAAACATTGACCAAGCTCCCCGGGCATGGCCCTGCTATTTGCCAGATAGAGATAGAATGGAAAGCTTCCTACAAAATCGTATTCTTTTTCAACTATTAGGGCGGGGATGCTGAAGGAATAGGGATGGACTGAGGGCGGCTAGAATTCGTGTGTGTTTAAAAAAATTCAAAAATTGTAAAATTTCTCTATCGATACCTAAGCCAGCAGAGTCGAAAGGATGGGAGGAGAAATGCTCAGGGTGCCGGGTGGGTGGGAGGCAGGTAGCAGTGCCCTTGTCCCAGGAAGATAATCCCCTTGCCTTTGGTCACAGAGAGGGGACGCTGACCACACCTTCTTCTCCGAGGACTGTTTCCATTTCTCAGAACGTGGTCATGCCGAGATGGCCATCGCACTCTGGAACAACATGGTGAGTGCCGGGGGGCAATCCTAGGATGTCGACTGTTTCCCACAATGAAAACCTACTGTCTGACAAAGCTCCTTTCTCCCCAAAGCTCAACAGGGCCACACACCTTACTCGTCCCGACAGATCTGAATCTTTCGGTAATACCCCAGTGCTATGGGGGATAACTTTGTAATCAGATAGACTGGATAAAAATAACAGCTTCAATCCCTTACCATGTGACCCTGGGCAAATGATCTCTCTCTCTTCTCTGGCCATCTGTAAAAACAATGAAAATGACACAGATCTCAGAAATTTGAGATCATGTAGGACCGAGCACCCAGCACGGTAACATTCAACAAATGTCAGCCCCATTCCTCCAGTCTCAGCACATTCCCAACATCACTTGTTTAAACAGCAAAGAGAAAAGAGCCACCTAGCCTGCCACCTATTCTTGTCCTTTAAGCTGGCGAAGGGGACCTTATGCAAAGAACATACAGCCCAGGGGCCACAGCGACACCTGGCCTTGCCTCTGCCCTTTATGCCTGATCGATCAGCTACGTTTGTACAGAGCCTGACTGTATCCTCTTGAGCAGAGCAAATGAAATGCCTTTCCAACCCACTGGCTTCCTTTGATCTAGGCCCAGTGGGAACCCAATCCCCACCCCAACCTACATGTTCCTTCATTTCTCCCACGGTGACTAAACAATCGACACTCCTGCTCCTTTTGCAGCAAGTTCAGGCCTGCTGTGTCTCTGCCAAGCACCACTGTGCAAATATTCCCACACCTGTCAACTCACCCAATAGGTCACAATATTGATTGTCTCCTTAGCTACACCTACTCTCTAGCAACCTTTCCTCAGAACAGCATACAAATGGGTTTTATCCTTGGCCTACCTCATTGCAGACTCATCCTTTCTCTACTTTTGTTTTCCTGGTGTTTTCTTCCTGTTGACATCGCATTCTGCCTACTCCTAAATCTTTCCTCATACTGTCAGCCCAGGACTCTGAATTTCAATCAAAACATCTACATTCCCTCCCACCCAACCTCCACAGTAATTTTTTTTAATCCAAGTTGGCACAATATAATTCGTTTCTTTTGCAGATTTGTTTTAAAGTCCAGTTTGTCCGTCAGTGGCTGAGTCATGTGATTTGATTCCTTTTAAAATCCACGCCACCCATAACGAATGAGTATCTATCTATGCATGGTCCCATTTATCCCCCAAGATCTCAAATATAAAGCTATTGCATCATACCAACTTTTGAGATCATCATCTTACTGGAATTTCACCCCTAGAGTGACATAATAGGCCACTAGAACTAGAAAATGTCTTAGAAGTCATCTAGCCAGAATGCTCTGTAACAAAAACGCAGAGACAGGAAGCAATTTGCCCAGGGTCCCACAGCCAGTTAGTGGCAGAGCAGGGATTAGAACCCAAGTCTAATCGCCTAGTGTTATGGACACAGCACTACCTGGCCTTCCCACTCCCAACCAGATAAGCACATATGTAACTGGTGAATTCATGTCTCATAATTAGAGTCCCATGACATAGTGTCTGCAGGCTTTGGCTGACGCTCCCAGGGTCCCCTACTGTGGCAACAAACACACTTGAAAATTTTCATCTCCTACCCCTTCTCTCAACAGTGTAAGAGACTTTTTTTTTAGGCAAGGCAACCCTTGGTTGACCTCACAGATTGCAAAGACCTTGTTTTTTATTTATTTTTTACACCTACAACACCTGGTCTTCCTAGGTGGTCTCTCATGCAAGTAATAACCAGGCCGGACCCTGCCTAGCTTCCGAGATCAGACGGGATCAGGCTTGTTCAGGGTGGCATGGCCGAAGACCCCTCCAGAGACTTTTGCAAAGCACAAAAACATCAGGAGTACCAGGAAATTCTTTTCTCTTCCTTTTTCTTCTTCTGTCTTAGAGTTTTTCCTCTTTTTTCTGATGCCTATTCCTCCACTGCTGGCTGCTCCCTCCTGTGCAAATCCCATTTTCATCTAATATTTGTATTTCCCAAGGTACTGGGTGTCAGCCTAGCCTCCTGATTGATGTCCCTGTCTCTGGGTTTACAGCCCTTAAACAGCAATTCTCAACTCTGGCTGCGTAGAATCATCTTGACACTTTAAAAATAATTCATGCCTATAACCACTTTGGAAAACCTTACATATCTACTGAAGCTAAACATACATATTTTCTGTGACTCAACAATTCCATTCCTGCATATACCCCCGTCAGAAAATAGCACACACATTCACCAAAAGATGCATACAAGAAGTTTCAGAGCGGTGCTATTTGTAATCCCCAAATGTCCACCAACAGGAGAATGGAATACCTTTCAATGAGACTAAACAAACTTCAACAACATGCAGCAACATATACAAATTTAAAAAACAAGCAAATTAATGTATGGTCTTATCGGGGGGTGAATTATACTGAATGAGGGTGGCAGGGGGTTCTGAGTGCTAGTAATGTTCTGTTCCTTGATCTGGATGCTGGTTACGTGGGTATGTTAATTTTATCACAATTTATCATCTCACTTATGATTTGTACTTGTTTCTATATGTGCTAGCTTCAGTTAAAATTTTACTTAAAAATAAAGCACCAGTACCTGGGCCTCATTCCCAGAAAGTCTGACTTAGTCTGGGGTGGCACCTGGGTTCAGTATGTTTTAAAAGCTTCCCAGGTGACATTACCGTGCAGGGTTTGCAAACCATTGCCTGAGATTAATTCACCACAGGGCAACCACAGTAGTCTGCAGGAGTGAAAATCTGACCAAGTCACACCCTGCTTTCAAAATTCTAAGGCCTGCTTCTCCCAGAAGCAGAAAGGCCAGGCCCCTTAGCACACCAGGCCTTCTGGGATTGGGCCCCAATCAACCTGTCCAGCAGCCATTCTGCCATCCTCTGATTTGTACTTGGCAATCTAATTTGTACTTGGCAACCCATGCTGTCTCTGCCTATGTCTGCTCTCACTCACCCTCTTATCTTGGACTGCCCTCCCAACCTGCTCCTGGCTAGCCTTTCCTCACCTCAGCTCCAGTGCCAACTCCTACAGGAAGCCTTCTCTGAATCCCCAGAGCAGTCAAGAGGCCCACTCAACCCCTTTGCACCCTGTCCTGTCATTTGGCACTTTGTTGGTGTGTCTGGCTTAGGAAAGATGAGTTCTAGGAAGAACAACCCCATTTCCTGGGGCCGGCCCCAGGCCGTCTCCCTCTGAGCTGCTCCCCTTAGGTCTCTGTGACTCCAGTTCATCCATCCACTCACTAAGCAACTATATATTGAGTATCGCTATGTGGTGAGTACTAGTCCAGGTGCTGGGGGGTGGAGGTATGGGGCACAGCAGTGAAGGAGAATGTCCCTGTTCTCATAAAGCTTACAGTCTAGTGAGAAAAAGAAACACACCAACAAGGTAATTTCATTCAGGGCTTAAAAAGAATAAAGCAGGATGATGTGACAGAGTGACGATAAGGGAGAAGGAAGCCTCACCAAAGAAATGACGTGTGAACTGGGAGAGGCTGCCAGGCATGCAGAGGTCTGGGCCAGAGTGTTCCAGGCAGAGGAAATAGGACCTGTGCGAGCCCAGAGTCAGGAATGAACTAGAAGTGTCTGAGGAACATAAAGGCCAATGTGACTGGGGGGAAATGATCAGGGCCTCGTCCTTGGATGGCTTTCGACAGGGGAGCCATACAGTCTGGTTTACCCTCTGGCTGCTGTGTAGAGATGGACTGGAAGGAATCAAGAATGGAATTGGAAAGACCATTAGGAGGCTGCTGGAGTCCAGGCAAGAGATGAATGTGGCTGGGACCAGGGCGATGGCATGGAGGAGGAGGGAAGTGGTCAGATTTGGGATATGTTTTAGACTGGGTGACAGATGAGATAAAAGAGGAGTAAAGGCTGACTCCACAGTTTGGGGTTGGGGAAATTTAGTGGATGGTCGAAGTGGTAGAGAGAATTAGACTTAGGTGAGAAAACCAGAGTTCGATTTTGAAAGTGGTAAGTGCGAGCTACCTTCCAGATCGCCACCTAGGGTTATGAAGTAAGCTCTGAAATGTGGGAGTCTAGGGCTCAGAGAGTTGGTCATGGATGGAGATTTAGAAAAAGATCTGGGGGTCATTAAAACAGAGGCGATATTCAAAACCATGGAACTAACTGAGAGCTCGTAAAGAAGGAATAGGTGCAAAGGAGTGTCAGACCGAGTACCAAGCCCCAGGACAATCATTCCAACTTTCGACACCAGCAACAGAGGTGGAGAGAGTGGGGAGATGGGAAACAAGAAGAAGGCCATGTCTGGGGAGATGAGAAGTGAGTATTTTGAAAGGGAGGCATCGACTTTGACAAATGCTACTGGAAAGTCAAGCAAGATAAAGACAAAAAAAAAAGTGACCATTGGATCTGGCAATATATGGAGGCCACTGATGACCTTGACCAGAGCGCCAGTGATGGGGACCGAAGACAGATTAGAATGGGCAGTGGAGAAAAGGAGAGATTGGGAAGTACAGCCAGTGACTACAAACGACTCTTCTAAGAGTTATAAGGAGCAATGGCGAAGGTAGCTCGAGGGGATGTGATCAAGGGGAGGACGGTAAAGGATGGGGGATGGGTTGTGCTCCAACCGAGACAGGGAGAAACTCACGGCGATCGTCAAACCCACATGGTCATTACCTTCCTCTGCACCAGTTAGTTGCTGGGTTCCTGGAATATCACTGGGAATCGGCCAACCTGACCGTCAGCATCCATCTGTCACGAGGTGGTTCTGTTGTGGTGGCACTAAATAGAAATAATACTCTCGTATATGTAAGCTGCCTCCTGCTCACGTGTCATCTTCTCATTTGAGGATCACAACCACCCAATGTGGAGTTGTCAGGACAGGGCTGAATGCCCCGCCCCTCACCTTGGGAACAGTTCAGGAGCCTGCCTAGCACCACACAGGTCACTATCAGCAGAGCCAGGACCCTAGCTGATGTGCACACTGTATTCTGTCCAGTCACCGTGGTCTCTCCCAGGGCTAGAGCAGTCCTTCCTAATTGTGTTACTAAGGAACAGATGTAAAATTCTTTAAGACAGCAAAAAGCAAAATCATGGGCCAGGTGTGGTCATTGGCTGGCACAGCATACTTTTCACTTACCTCATAGGCAGTACCTATGGGTCAGGAGCCGGCGAGGTCAGAGACAGACAGGGACGTAGATTTTAAAATGGTGGAGGCCAGATGTTCAGGTCAGAATCAGAATAGGTGAGAATGCCAGGCATTCATCCTTCTCGGAGCTGGCCACATGTCAGGGGGCAGGCCATTGGCTAAGGATGCTGGGAGGAGGGGGTACAGCCGTTTCCGGCCCATTCACAGAGAGTCCCAAGATCAAAAGTACTAAGCAGAACTTCTCCGAACCACAGTTGCTCCCAGGAATATTTCAAGTAAACTTTTTCACCTATGAGGAAAGCATACAAAGGTGCGCCAGTGAGAAAATGCCAACTCCGTAAGCCTGAGGAGCCGACAGTAGCAACGATGTCATGATGACCGATACATTTTCAAAGTTTTCCTGAAATGACTAGCCCCACACACTTCAAGAAGTTGGTAAATGTGATCATCGCCATTTTATAAAATTGAGGATGCAGGGTCTGCGATGAGAGCCACCCACAGGGGAAGCAGGAGAGGGAGATTCCAGGCCCTGCCCATCCCACTCACTGTGGCCCCTGGACTGGTCCATCTCTCCTGGGTCTCAGTGTCCAAGACTCAGGGGCCCACCCAACTCTGACGGATTCTGACCTGTCACTCTGTGCGTGTGAGTCAGGTCCAGCTCCAGCCCCGGGGCTGCTGGTGTCTGCTATGGATCCTGCTCGCTCTCTGGTTTCAGCCTTGCAAAGGGAGGGAATCGGGTGAGATACTCCCTGCCCCACCCCCCGCCCCCACCAATAGGGTGGTCTCCCCTACTCCAGAGGGAATCAGGTTTCCTTTTTCTCTCTTCAGCTGGAACCAGTGGGCAATAAAACAACCTTCTACAACTTCACCTACAGCCGAACCAAACTCAAGTGCCCCTCTCCTGTGAGTAAAGGTCCTGCCTGTCCAGAGTGGAACAGATGTCGGGGGGCGAGAGGGGTGAGGGAGTCGTGTGATGTAGCACCTGGAGACATGAAAGTCCCCTGGAAGGCTTTGTCATCATGTACCCTCACTCACTGCCACCATTCTCAGATCTCAGCACTCCTCACTGCCCTCGACACTTAGCTCCACGGAGGGCGGGCAGCCATGAGTAGGGGGGGAAGGAGAAAGCACAGTGCGGACTGAAGTGGGAAGAGGCACTCAGGGGAGGCAGGCAGCGCTGGCCAGACCTTGAGTCACGCTCTGCCCCTGAGGGGTCTGAGTCATTCTCTGTCTTAAACATGGCGAAGGAACTCTCCCATGGGAGTGGGGGCATGGCAGGGAAAGGGAAATAAGACGCCGTGTCTGTTCTGGGAGCCTGCAGCCTTCTTTCTCCCTTTCCACCACTGCCATTTTCTAGGACTTTATTGCCCTTACTCGGACCACTGACAAAGTCCCAAACTTGCCCCCTAGCTCTCCTCTCTCCCTTCTCCATCCATCCCATAATTGCTGCGAACATGGAACAACCTACTCGGAAGTAACTCCAGTCCTGTCGAGACTGCTCGAAACCCTTCCCTGGTCCCTCTGCCCATTGAAGAGAATCCAGATGGGGGGCACCTTCTTCAGTCACCTTAGACACACTCTGCTCCTGGAAAATGGAGCCTCTTCCCAGACGAGCCCCACGATTGCCCATGACTGTGCTTTCCTCCCATCTGCTCCTTCTGGAGGTTCATCCCTCATGTCTATCTATGAAAAATTTTCACATCCTTCAAGTTCCAGATGTGGCCCTCCCTGGGCTACGGTTTCACCTTATCTCACCCTACCCATCCTGCCCCAGACACACACCTGCCTTGGTCTCTCTTTCCTGCTTATACCTCTCATAAGACAAGACGAGCTCCTTTGTGATGTGATTGTTTCTCAACATGTCTTATCTCCTGACTGGACAATGAGAGAGGTCACATCTTAACCCTCAGGTACTCTGACAATTCCCAGTGACAGGGCCCCCGCAAGGTGGGCACTGAATTCATGATCAGAGAGAGGGAGAAAAGAATCCAGCAGGCAGGACCAGCACCTCCTCCCTCAGCCCTTCTCACTTTCAGTTCTCAGATCTACTACAAAACCAGCCAAACCAGTTGTTCTTCCACGCTGACCTTCTCTGCTCCCCAGGCACTCCCGGATGGGAGGGTGAGGGGAACTGTCCAGTGGTGGCCTAGAGGAAACAGAGGTGGGGACTCTGCCAGCTCCTCAGGACTCTTCCATTGGTCACCTGTCAGTTCCCAATCTTTCAAACTCAGTCTGACAGGAAAGGAGATGCTGGTGAGACACCACAAGGAGGTCAGAGCTGGGTGGTGACCACTTCGGCTCCCCTTCCTCCTTCAGAAGAGCGGGGCACAGTGTAGATGAGAGAACTCAAACAGATCAGCTGTGATAGGCGTGTGCAAGGTGATTGTAGCATCTCTGGGACAGAGACTTAGCGAGCCTAAGGTAGGCAGGTGGATGGTTTTCAGAGGCCTTAACCCCTGATCCTGTCCTCCACAGGAGAGCCCTTACCTCTACACCCTGAGGAACAGTCGGCTCCTCCCAGATCAGGCTGAAGCAAGCCCCAGGGTGCTGTCCTGGGCTGTGCCTGTGGCAGCAGGAGGTGGCATTGCAGTGGGCATCGGCTTCATGATGGTGTTGAGGGCCGTAAGAGGTGGGTGGAGGAAAATCTTCCAGTAAGCCTGGACACTATGAACTTGTAGGCCCGCCAGCCATGTGTAGGCATGCACCCTAAATTCCCCAGCCACACTCTTCACCAGACAGCATTTGCTTTAACACTTGGTGATGTAGGGAGCCAAAGGGACAATCATGACTTCTTGGGGCATGGAGCCTACGTTCCTGGAACTGGCAAATTTAAATAAAGACCAAAGCTGTCCTGTTTTGTGGTTAACCTGCTTAAAGCTCTCGCCTTCCATCTGTTGTGTGGCATAAGTGTGAGGGCTGGAGCCTTTTGTGTCCTGTCAGCCAGAGCTGCCTAATTGGTAGCCGACCATGGCCCAGAACTGGTCCCCTGTCAGGCTCCAGCTCAGTACTGGAGAAGCATATCCTAGAGACACCAAACTCACTATTTCAAAGGTGGGGAAAACATGGGTCACCAGGTGGTAGCTGGAATTTTAGAGCTGGCTGGCCACCGTCCAATACAATCCAACACGTACCTGTTGTGCACCTGTTTTATACCCTGCACAATGTAGAGTGTTGTACCTCCAAGCCGTGCATGTCACAGCCTGGCCAAGAAGATAACTCCTTCAAAAGAAAAGCTTGGTGACCGTGTGTGATTCACCAAGGCTTTGGTGAGTAAATGTGTCTGATTTCAAGACTAGGAGGAGTTCATTGGGAAAATTTCCTGGGAGAGAGCATTTTGAAATGCTGTTTAAAAAAAAAGGATTGGGATGTGAACATTTCACATATTATCCTCAACCTGATTTTCTCAAGGTGCTAAATTTAAGAAAGACTTTCTCTTCCTACATCACACATTGGTGAGAGAGAGAACTGGAGAGAGTCCGATAATACAGGCTGCATTCACTTAGCCCCTACTAGGGGCAAGGCCCTGAGCTGAATGAATGTCTTACACACATTATCTCTTTTATTCTGCACAAAAACCAAGGGAGGGATGATGAAAAAGGTTTGAAAATAGAAGTGGTAATTTCACAACATTGTGAATGCGTTAAATACCACCGACTTATTCACTTTAAAATGGCTAATTGTATGTCGTGTGAATTTTACCTCAATAAAAAACAACAACAACAAAAAAATTATCATCAACATCATCAGTTTCTATCTGATCCCACAGCTTGAAATGACAAGGGACGTAGGTCAGAATCCCAGATATACCATTTAAATGTGTGGCCTTTGGAGCAAATCCCATCACCAGCCTGAGCCTCAGTTTCTTAGATACCTCATCTATAAAATTCAGAATACCCATTTTGCCTGCCTCACAGCACTGCTGGCAAACAAGAAATGTATTGTATAAAAATGTTCTGTAACTCTAAGACCCTGCACACATAAACTGGGTTGAGATAGGATCCAGACTGTGGGGGACGTGAAATCCAGAGGTGAGTGGGGGAACCGGGCAGTGACTGTGCATGAAGACTGCCTGTCTTCTTCTCATGCAGGTTCATCATCTTATCTCACTTTGACAAAACAGAATAGAGTCCCCAGAGGACCTTGGTCCCATCCCAATGTTCTTCGAGCTTTAATTTCTGTTTCTGTACAACAGAAACAATATACTTGCCCCCCTTCTTCCTAGGGACCGGAAATCATAGCAACTAAATTACACATATCCTCAATAACTACCACATGCCAGCCTGTGCTCCTGACTTACCATTGTGTAACAACAAAGAGGACCCATTAAATCCAATAGTTCATCCCTCCACTCTTTTCCCTCAAGTTTCCATTCCAATAAGTCCCACTTCAAAGAATCATGGAAATTATAATGACGAGCCCCCTCACTTGTGGTTGGAATTTACACTACCCAAGGAATCCAGGAGCCCCCAGTCTGAAAAATTAACAACAACAACAAAAAAGTGATCCCAGGCTGGTAACCAAGAAACACTGCAGAAACAAAGAGAAATCCTCTCTGGAGGGACAAAAGCACAAGCCGAGCCTCCGATTCCCACCAAATAGATGCCAAAAAAAGCCAAAATTTAAAAATATGTGCAAGTACCTACTTGAACTTGGTGGTAGTATATATACATTGTCTACACACCATGTCCTTTACCTATAGAAAAATGTTCTGTCTAGTTAGGATGATGCTCACAGCCACATCGTAAACGAAGCCATCAAATCCTAAGAAAGCTATACTCTACGGTCTTCTTCATAGAGGCTTTTGAATTCAGAAGAGATCAGTGTGGATTAAACTTGGTCAAAAGCTTTCATAAAAGACATGGAACTTTCATTGAGCTCTGAAGGATGGAGAGAGAATTTGGTTAGAGGCCAAAAAGAATGGGGTTTTAGAGTCTGGAAAAATTCCATCTGAACAGACGAATACAAGCATGGTATGTATAGGGGACAATTAGAAAGCCAGAAAAAATGAGTGTGGATGAGCCAGATACAGCTGGATTAGGGGGACACTAAAGAAAGGGTAAGGAGTCAACAGAGATTATACTGTTACAATGGTTGTACTATCAGGCTGCATTTTATTTGGGACTATAAATGTTATTGGGAAAAGATTTGTATGAGGAAAAATAAAAGCAATAAAAGTCGATAGAGTGCTTATATTATGACATGCACCTTCGTGTACAATAATTAAAATTTCTACATCCCTATTATCGTCCCCTTTTCACAGAGGAGAGAACCAAGATTCAGAGAAGAGGTAACTGGCCAAGAGTTATACTTTCATTACACAATGGGACATTCATCAAAATGAGTACTAGTGTCCAGGGTAGGGGAATGACCCCAAAACATAAAACACATGATTCTAGCAGGAACTGGGCCAAATTGCAAATAAATGTGGTATAAAATAAAAATCTAAGAAGGAAGGATATTATCTTCACAAGGCTGTGATTGTACCATGAGTTCCTCTGCTTCCAATTGGTCTGAAGAGCTCAGCCATCTCTAGTTAAAAAGCTATGATTTAAAAAGTTAACTAAAAAGACTAAGATTTACTTTACTAGAATATACGTGGAGTTATAGCAGCAGGCAAATCTTTTAATTGGAAAAAAATGAAGATACAATCCCTGTGAGAATCAGTGGACAGTAAATGACAGGATTAGACCCACATTTTACGTAAGTTTTTTAACGGTACTAAAGACATTATAAGTATGTTTAGAAAGATTAAAGATACAAGGAATTTAAAACATGAGACAAGAATAAAGCATTACTTTTTAAAATAAAGGATTTGTGAAAGAACTAAGAACCAAATAGAACTTCTAGAAATCAAATATATTGGTACTAAAGAAAATTCAACTGCAGTAGATGTGGTCAAATCAGTAGATTAAACACTTAGTGATCCAACATTTTCTGTGTATTTACTGTATACCAGGCATTGTTTTTAGCAATAAGTCTGAACACTCATCGATACTCATAACAGCCCAGTAACATACGTACTAATACTACCCCAATCTTACAGACAGAGAAACTAAAGCAGATTCTATAGCTTTTCAATGTTTTGATAAGAATTCAATAAGATAAAAACAATAATTTAAAAGACGGGTATTCAATATTTAACTCCCTTCCCATACCAGTATAAATTCCAATAGATTGTTCAAAATCTTTATAAAACCACCATAATAATGAAAATATATTTGGCACCTTACAGTTTACAAAGCACTTTAATATATTCTCATTTGATCCTCACCACAAACTTGGAAGCAAAAGATAGTATTAAGAAAAACAACATCCAAATGTCTAACCAATGTACTGAATACTTGAAACTAATAAAATTGAAAGGAAAAAAGAAAAAAACACCCCAAACTTGGAAAGAAGGCAGGAGAGCAACCACTTGTCCTGTAAATGTCGTTGTTTAACAAGCTCATCTCAAAGATATTTACTGATCCAGAATACCATTTGACTTTGTTATTTACTATTAAATAGAGCCCAGGCGCTATGAAGTTATGTTAACTAGTGAATTTCTGACACAAAAAAGATAACCTCAAGGTTACAGTTTTATCACCCTATATGACATTAACCATTTTCATATCTATAAGCAACATCATTTCAGCATTCCTTTGACATGTAAATTTGCATTCCTCAAATTCTCCTTGGAACCTGACTTCACCATCATAATGACTGCCTCATTAATTACTGAGTTAAAGTCTGACAAGTGTTCACCCTATAATATGAGAATCATGCTTTTTAACTTTTTAAAAATTAAGAATGATTTAAGTAACTAAGGAGCAAATTTTTAAAAATTATATAAAACCCAAGAGCATATTATAAAAACCTAGTAAAAGAGAACTATTGGGAACCAACAACCCAGTAATTCCATCCCTAGGTGGCAGTTCCCAAAGAAACATTTGTAAATATGTATGTCTAGGGCAGTATGTGCAAGCATATGCATGGCAGTGTTGTTTATAAAATCAATAAAACTGGAAATGATGAGATCAATGGCCATCAAGAGTGGATTAAAAAAAATAACTTATGGTACATTAATACAACGGAGCATTTATGCATCAGAGAAAAATGAATCCCTATAACTTCATTCATCAACATGGGTGAGTCTTACAATGAAAAGTTTTGCAAAGATTACATGTAACATGGCTCCATTTAAATGTGGAGAGAAGCAGTGAAAGGAGTAAAGGTAATCAATGTCACAATTATCATAAAAATCAGTAAAGTTGTTACATTTGAGAGAAAGAAGGGGTTGTGATTGAGGGAGGATGCATGGAGAGCATCTAAGATACTGGATTTGCTATTTCTAAGGTACCTAGTAGTGGTTTCACAAGATTTTGCTTGATAACTATTCTTTAAGTTGAATATCGTGTATATGTATCAGACTTTTTCTGTACTATTTCATCATATTAAGTTAAAAGAATGGAGGAAGATGCTTTATACGACAACCAAGCTAAATTAAATTGCTTATTTCTTGAGTGACCATTTGGAGGGAGCTCCTTGGGGCTCTGAAGCCTGAGGATATACCCAGGAAAACCTCCACTTTCCCAGCCATCTGGAAAAGTTGTTCTCAAGGGCCACATACAAAACTTGGTAAGCGTTCATTACAAAGTCTCTGAAGTGAAGTATATATAAGTCAAAGTTGATCTGGGCAAAGAAACAGAGGCCCCCACTTCAGGGCAGCCCTCAGACCCAGTCTCCTGGGAGCAGGCCAATTTGGGCCCCACTCCAAGGCATACATGGGTGCTACAGCAAGAGCTCAGTAGGCTTCAGTCAAAGGAGGCCACTCAAGTGTGGACCCTCGTATCTCTATGTGATGTCCATAAAACTTG